ATAATAAAAGGGGTGGTTTTTTTGATTTCTTCTTCTTCAGATTTATTGTTTGTGTATAGGAAGGCTACTGACTTTTGCGTGTTGATTTTGTATCCTGCCACTTTACTGAATTGATTGATGAGTTGAATTAGTTTTTCTGTGGAGATTTGGGGTTCTCTATGTATATTATCATATCATCTGCAAATAGTGATAGTTTGACTTCTTCTTTTCCTATTTGGATTCCTTGGATGTCTTTCTCTTGTCTTATTGCTCTGGCTAGGACTTCCAGTATTATATTGAAAAGCAGTGGTGAGAGTGGACATCCTTGTCTTGTTCCAGATCTTAATGGAATTGCTTTCAGCTTTTCACCATTGAGAATGATACTGGCTGTTGGCTTGTCATAGATGGCCTTTATGATGTTGAGGTATGTTCCTTGTATCCCAAGAATTTCAAGGGCTTTTATCATGAATGGGTGTTGCACTTTGTCGAAAGCTTTCTCAGCATCTATTGATATTATCATATGGTTTTTATATTTCTTTTTGTTGATGTGTTGGATAACGTTGATTGATTTTCGGATGTTAAACCATCCTTGTGCCCCTGGAATGAATCCAACTTGGTCGTGGTGAATTATCTTATGGATACATTGTTGGATTCTGATAGCTAAAATTTTATTGAGGATTTTTGCATCAGTGTTCATTAGGGAGATTGGCCTATAGTTTTCCTTTTTTGTGTTGTCCTTATTCGGTTTTGGTATTAGTGTAATATTGGCTTCATAGAACGTGTTTGGTATTGTCCCTTCCTTCTCAATTTTTTGGAAGAGTTTGTGAAGGATAGGCACTAATTCGTCTCTGAATGTTTGGTAGAATTCATTTGTAAATCCATCAGGTCCTGGGCTTTTGTTTTTGGGGAGGTTTTTAATTACCATTTCAATTTCGCTGCTTGTAATTGGTCTGTTTAGGTGTTCTATTTCTTCTTTATCTAGCTTTGGGTGATTGTAGAGTTGTAGGAATTTGTCCATCTCCTCTATATTGTTGAACTTGTTTCCATATAACTGTTCATAGTAGTTACTGATTATTCTTTTGATTTCTGCTGTGTCCGTTGTGATTTCTCCTCTTTCATTTATGATTCTGTGTATTTGTGCTTTCTCCCTTTTTTCCTTTGTGAGCCTGGCTAGGGGTTTGTCTATTTTATTTATTTTTTCAAAGAACCAGCTCTTGGTTTCATTGATCTTTTGGATTGTTTTTTTAGTTTCAATTTCATTTATTTCTGCTTTGGTTTTTATTATTTCTTTTCTTCTACTGGTTCTGGGGTTATTTTGTTGTTCTTTTTCTAGATCTTTGAGCTTCGAGATTAGGTTGTTTCTTTGAGTTCTTTCTTGTTTTTTGATGTGAGCTTCTATTGCTATATATTTTCCTCTTATTACTGCTTTTGCTGCATCCCATACATTTAGGATATTGGTGTCCTCCTTGTCATTCAATTCAAAGAATTTTTTAATTTCTTCTTTGATCTCCTCGTTAGTCCAGTGGTCTTCCAGTAATGTGGCTTTTAATCTCCATGAGGTAGGATAGTTCCTTGCCTTCTTTTTATGATTTATTTCTAGTTTGATGCCTTCGTGGTCAGAAAAGATGGTTGGTATGATTTCAATCTTGGTGTATCTGTTGATGTTTGTCTTGTGCCCCAGTATGTGATCGATCCTGGAGAATGATCCGTGTGCGCTTGAGAAAAATGTGTACTCCGTTTTTTTTGGGTTTAGTGTTCTATAGATGTCTGTTAAGCCCAAATGCTCTAGGTCCTTATTTAGAGCTTTAGTTTCTTTACTTATTTTTTGTCTTGTTGATCTATCCATTGTTGGTAGTGGTGTGTTGAAGTCTCCCACTACATATGTGTTTTCTCTGATGTCTGTTTTCAGAGAAGACAACAGTTGTCTGATATATTTTGGTGCTCTTTCGTTTGGTGAGTATATGTTAATGAGTGTTATTTCTTCTTGAAGTATTGTCCCCTTAATCATAATGTAGTGACCATTGGGGTCTCTTTTTATTTTTTTGAGTTTGAAGTCTGTTTTATCTGATATAAGTATAGCTGTTCCTGCTTTCTTTTTTGGCCCATTTGCTTGTAGGATTGTTTTCCATCCTTTGATTTTGAGCCTATTTTTATCTTTTGTAGCTAAATGTGTTTCCTGGAGACAGCAAAAGGTTGGGTTTTGTTTCTTAATCCAGGCTGCAACTCTGTGTCTTTTTATTGAAGAGTTTAGTCCATTTACATTTAGAGTTAATATTGATATGTTAGCATCTGTATTTGCCATTATGTTTGTCTTTCCTTTGATTTTATTTATTTATTCTTTTAATAACTTTTTTTTTTTTCTGGTCTTCTTTCGTTGTTATTCGTCCCTCTGAGGTTCTGGCTTTAGGATTCCTTGTAGTATTTTTTGGAGTGGGGGTTTAGTCGCAATGAAATTCCGGAGTTTCTCTTTGTCTGGGAAGGTCCATATTCTTTCTTCATGGAGGAAAGAGAGCTTTGCGGGATAGAGTATTCTTGGTTGGCATCTGTTTTCTTGGAGTCTGTTGACTATGTCCCTCCACTCTCTCCTTGCCCGTAATGTTTCTTCAGAGAAGTCTGATGTCAGCCTGATTGGTTTTCCTTTGAATGTTATCTGTTTCTTCCCTCTTGTCAGCTTCATTATTTTTTCCTTGTCCTGGATTCTTGGGAGCTTTACTATTATGTGTCTTGCTGTGTTTTTCCTTTCGTCGTGGAAGTTTGGTGTTCTTCTTGCTTCTTGTATATCAATTTTCAGCTCCTTCTTCTCATTTGGGAAGTTCTCTTCAATTATATCCATGAATATTTTCTCTGTTCCTACATCTCTCTCCTCTCCTTCTGGAATTCCTATAACTCTTATATTTCCTTTCCTCATGGAGTCAGATAGTTCCCGAAGTCTTTCTTCATTCTTTTTCCTTCGTACTTCTCTTTCCTTTTCTGTTTTGGTTCTTTTTATTTCTGTGTCTTCAAGATTACTTATTCGTTCTTCCATTTCATCTATTCTGCTTTCATTGCTTTTCCCAGAGTTCTTTAGTTCCTCCATTAATTCTTTGATCTCCTGCATTTCTCTTACTTCCCTCTTTAGGGACTCAATTTCCTTCTTCTGATCTATCACTTTTTTAATCATGGCAATTTTAAATTCTCTTTCTGGAAGGCTCAGAAGTTCTTCCAAGTTGCTGTCGTTGCAATCTGGGGAGTGGTTTTCTTTTTGTGGTGTGCTTCTTTCCTGAGGAGTTTTTAGGTTGCGTGTGGTTCTTCTACTCCCTACTGTCTGTTTTCTAATTTGTCGTATGCGTTGGGACACTGTGTTGCTCGGACTGACTGACATCTTGGGTGAACTTCTCCGCTCCCCTCTGGCTCTTCCAGGAGCCATCTCTGTCTTCTGGGGGAGCTTTCTGCTGGTTTTAGGCAGTTTTTACTGAAGAAATGTCCCTGTTCTCAAATGGCGAAGCGGGATGCAGTCCCTGCGCCTCCGGTTTCAGGCACACTCTTCTGCGCACCCGGTCTGCCCCGGACGTGGGTGCCTGCTCCCTCTGTGGGCTCAGACTGCTGGTCGGAAGGGGCCTGGCGTGGAATAACTTCCCGGCTGGCCACTGGGTCCTCCAGAAACCTTCTGCCCTTTTCAAGCAGTCTTAAGAAATGTCCTGTTTTATAGGGTGTTAGTGACTTTTTTTTTCCTGGTCGCTAGGTGGCGCCAGAGATCTCTCCTATTGTCCTTGGGGGGCTGTTTTTCGCCTCCCCCCACCCCGTGGGGCAGAGAACAGAGCGGGAATGGTAGGGTACACCTCAACAGCTTTGGGGTGCTGTGTCTGCCTTGTGCCCCACCGTCGTGGAGAAACCACGCCCCGAATTTTCGTGCCCCGGGTCTCAGTTCAAAGCCCTCAAGAACTGAAATCTTTAAAACACCAAGCTTCCAATCCATGACTATAGTACATCACTCTCCTTAATTTTCCCAGCAGAGTATCATAATTTTTATTGTAGAGATTTACACACCTTTCCTTTGAGTTCTGTCTAGGTATTCGATGTCATCTGATGCTGATGCACGTGGCATCATCTAAGCCTCTGAGTACACGTGCAGTAACACCAGCCCATTTCTAACTCTGTGCTCCCTGTGGGCACATGAAGTGAAATAGCAATCAGTGTCCCTTTCCCGGTACCACTCGTGCTAACCCCCTCCAAGCAGGCGAGGCGGAACTGCTTCACTGCTGGAAACTTATTTCCGAATCCAAACATTGCAGCCCAGAAATTATTCTTTTGTTATAAACTAAATCTCTCCAACTGGCCTTTCAGCTTATTTTCCTTTGGTTTGGTTCCGTTTGTCTGCTACAAAGGCTTCATATTTAACACTCAGCTATGTGAATCATGCAGACATGTCTGTGCTGCATGTACAAATAAGTACAGCTTTTTTGGAGGGAATTTGCTCATGATACAGTATTTAATTGAAAAATAAAATTAAAATCTAATTTTAAAAATAAAATATTTATATTAAAATATAATTTTATTTTTAAAATATATGTGCTTAAAAGTTCAAAAGAAAATGTGTAGCTATGGTTATTATTGAGTGACTGTTACTGAGTACAAATTAGTTTTAGATTGGTCTACACTTTCAAAATCTTAGGATAAGCATGCACTAGTTTTGTACTTAGCAAAAAATAGGCATTTTTAAGGGGAAAAAATTAAAACTATGTATTAAAATTCTGCCTTGAACTTTACTTTCCCCTTTATCAGGTAAGGCCCCTTTCATTAAAATTTGCCAGTTTGCAGGAGTGGAAATTTTCTCACCAGTCCTGGCTAGCTATAAAATTCTAGCCAAGTGCTCAGAATTTGCTCCTCACACTTGGAACTCGGCAGCACCTGTTTAACTTCACACCCCTGGTTCCTGGGGTAAATCCCACATGCATAGTGCAGGCTCCAGTGAAATTCTTTAGCAGTCCAGATGTGCGCCCCCCTCCCTCGGCTGGTCTAGTAACCCCACTGTTTATTGACAGGTTCTCAGGAATCAGATAGCTCTCAGTCGGCCAAGAAAGACATGCTGGCCGCCTTGAAATCCAGGCAGGAAGCTCTGGAGGAAACACTTCGCCAGCGGCTGGAGGAGCTGAAGAAACTGTGCCTCCGAGAAGCGGTAAGCACTGCTGTTTCGTCCTGTGGAGTCTGTGCTTCCGAGTCCTCGTCTCTTCATAGTTACCAAAGTCAAGGGTGCAGGTGATAGAGAGCATGTGAGGGAAGCCAGTTCGCTCCTGAAACACAGCTGTGGGGAACACTGATGCAACCCTGATGATGCACCTATCAGAGTCACAGGTGCAGGCAGCGCTGGGACAGCAGCAGCAGGACCCTGGCCCTGGCGGCCAGAAGACAAGCACCAGTAACAGCCCCTTCTATTCGCATGGTGCACCACCGTCTATAAACCGTTTCCTCACAATACTCCCTTGTTGGATATAATGACTTACTAGCATCTTCCTAAGAGCTGCGTTTATTGTGGTGCTGGCTTTTTTTCTCGTGAGGATAGTTCAGATTTATGTTGGAGACCATATTGAGAGGCATCATTGTGGAGCAACAAAGAAACCAGGATTTCACTGGATATATAATCCCCTTGAAGGTTCATGGTCTGGTGTTTCTTTCACTTTATTTTAAATTGTAGCCTAGTGGTATTTAAAATTTTTATGCGAAGCAATGCTTCCTCATGCCCCAGTGTATGTGAAGTCTCAAGTTTCGTTGGGATTTGGGGGCTGCAGTAGACTACTGTCTGTATTTGCTTGAACCTTTACTTCCACTTTTTTCTATTAATTCTATGACTCTTTGTTCCCATGTTTGAAGACTTGATTTTTTAATGCAACACACATTACTGTGCATGTGTGTGCACACATGTTCGTGTGCGGGCACATGGACACGAGGAGAGAGAAGTCCTCTGGAGACAGATTGTGTCCCAGATGACATTACAAAGAACTGTTGGTAAACAGTGCAGAATGGGAAGTTTTATAACTTAGACATTGAGACATACTCCCCTCCCCCAAATAATGCCTTGCCAAAGGCAGAATGAAACAAGGAAGGGGCCATAGAGTGAGATCATATTACATTTCAACTTGGCTTAATTATGCTCTGGATTGATTTAAACCTTAAACCGGAGCTTGCTCACAACAGACCCACATTAGCACAAATCAATTGCAAATCTAGGAAAGCAACTGGCCTAGCTGGGGGATGTGCTCTGTGATACTGTTAATATTAGCCACCTTTCTATAAAGAATATGCTGGAAGGATTGAAAAATTCTGGGCTTGGATGATTGCATTTAATCATTTGTAAAGCCTTGTTTTGGTTTTAATAAAAAAAATATGTCCCTGACCCAGGAGGGAATCAGCACCAGAAAATTAGAGAAACATGTTAGGGCAAGGTTAGCATATGTTATAAAGGTGTCACTGTCTACGCTCCTGTGCCTTACAATGTTGACACCAGAAAACAGAACTTGGGCAGAAGAAATAACTTCACAAGAAACCCTGGGCGAGCAGACAGTTCTGTGTGCTGCCTCTGGCCCTGCCCACCCGCGCTCTAATGGCAGCTCCTTCTTGCCAACTCAACTCTCTTCTGCTCTTTCTCTGAATCTCACACACCAAGCCCCTCCGTTTCACATATCCAGAAGTGCTGTCCCTGGGGAGCTGGGGGCCAGCATGAGAATTTGGCAGAGTATCGCCAATGTAAGGAACCCAGACAAGCCCACAAGTGTGTTAAATTACTCCTTCCCAGGGGCTCTGCTTACATGCAAAATCAGATTCAATGTGGAGAATCAAGGCCTGACTCACAGACCTAGCAGAGGCAGAGAATCAGTAGCCTCATAAGTTTAAAAAAAAAGGTTTGTTTTAAAATCACAAAATCACAGGCACTTCAGAATTATAAAAGCCTCAATATGTGCTATTTATAGACAGACTTTTAGGGAAGCAGATAAAATTGTTGCAGCGTAAACACATAACTGCTTTGGAGACATTTGAACCACATTTTTTTTTTTTTGTTTAAAGAAAGAAACAGGGAAGAAAATTGCAGGGCATTTCATACTCAAATAATTAGACATTGTGCTCTGAAATGTTTACAGTGGGGGACAGAAAGTCCACGGGTTCATTTCCCAGTGGCCTGCATACAGAAGGAAAGGGGCCCAGGAGCGTGAGAGTGGCTGTGCATGCCACTTGCACACACGTGCACACACCCCAGCATGCACATATGCCCACGCATGTGCATCTATACTCAGATGCACACATACACATGGACACTCCAGTGTGCACACACCCATCACATACTCACACACACACACACCGGTACCACACACCCCAGTCACAGATGCATGAGAACACACCAATATATACACACTCCCCAATGCGCACACACACCAACAGCAGTGCACACACACAGCAGTGAGGAGAGGCCAGTCAGAGCCTGGAACCTGGTGGTTTGGGTTTTACCGCTTCCTGGGCTATGGGTGCAAACTCCTTGTGTGAAATGATATGTGTTCCCGGGAAGAGACTGCACGCTCCCACTGGTCAGAACAATCCCTCTAGTATTTGTGCAGCAGTTATGTTGATTTGGGACTAGAAACCCAGGTCAGGGCTTGGCCTGGAGGTGCCCCCACACCAGTAGAGTCTTACAGTGGCTCCCCCAGGTTCTCTGGTCCTTGAAAGTGGCTCCTTGAAGACAGGCCTTGGCCCTACCATTTGAATTAGCTGCTAACTCAAATTTTAACATCATTCAGCCCAAATAAATAGCCTAATTCTCTTTTTTTAAAGATTTATTTATGCATACAAGGACAGGGGCCAGAGATGCGGGGGGGGTTAGAGGATTCACCAGAGATAAAGTGAGGAGCAGAACAGGTGGATCTATTTGAAATACACTGTTGAGGGGAGCAGTGGGCAAGTCAGGAGAGGTGTACTGCACCATGTGGGTCACCTCCCTGGCCGGGGATCAAACTCATGTTGCAGAGACTGCGGATAGCTGCATAGTGCTGCATCTTAACCCCTTGCACCACCAGGGATGCCCCGTGAGCCTAATTCTAATCCCAAGTCATTCCTGAGACCACAGGGACTACCCAGATCATGTCACTATAGTGACTTGTCAACTAAATCAGCTGTCATTATACTTACAACAGTCAGATTTTCAGAGCCCAGAGTACACACACAACAGATCTTTTTAAATAGCCTTGTCAGTAATATAGATTATATTTTCAGTTTCTAAAAAAATCTTATTTGTATACATTCAGTGTCTTCTAGGCTCACTATTTTTGAGCATGTGGCCAGACTGCAGTAATTATTACTCATACTCAGTTTCTAATTCATGTAATAGTGTACTTTTCTGGAATTTGCTGTACAGACAGCATTCTTTAAACTTAAGAGAACTGCAAGGGAATATTTGATGCCATGAAAAGAGCATAGGATTTGGAGCTAGAGCACCCAGAGGTCCCATTTTGGGTCAGCTCCTTACTGGCTTAATGACCTGCACATAGTAGGTAGGTCCCTTATTTAGGTTTTCTAAATTCCTGCTATGAGTGAGACCATCCGGCATTTTTCTTTTTCTTTCTGGCTTATTTCTATGAGCATGATCCCTTCCAGCTCCAGGAAATGCCTGTGACATTTTTTCAGTAACAACTGAAAAAAAAAATTGGGTTTTATGATGAAAAGCAATGGTGATTCTATTTACCTGACAGAAATTTATTTTGTGAAAAATTTTTGAACGCGCAGATAGGTAGACAGGATTGCTCTTGTATTTTCAGATAAATGAATCTGCATTTCTGAATTCCTGTTCAGCCATATTGCTCGGTATTATCACTGTTGTGAATCTATGCATTGGGAGGGAGGGGCAATGAATGAGTGTGTGTGTTCTTGAAGCCAGTCATTTGCCCAGTCTGATTTCCGCTCTCTCCTTGTGCTATGGTGCATGTGCAGGAACTGACAGGCAAGCTGCCCGATGAGTATCCCCTGGACCCAGGGGAAGAGCCACCCATTGTTCGAAGAAGAATAGGAACGGCCTTCAAACTGGATGAACAGAAAATCCTGCCCAAAGGAGAGGTGGGTCCTTGTTAAGATTATCACATTATCCTTATTTTCCCCATTTGTTAGGGCTTCCAGGTTTTCAAAACAAATTTCTTCATTCTCCCCAATGCTGAATGTCATTTCCCATTTCCTCCCACTCCCAAGGAGCTTTCTTTTGACCTTTAGTGAAGTCAGCAGGTTGGCCATTGTGTGGCTGCCTTGGATTACTTAGTTTGCATTAGTGAGTATTCTGATTTCTGTAGAAATAGTCTAGCATGATAGACCTGTCTCAAGTGGCTAAGTTCAACTTGGGAGAATATTCTGTAACACTCATGTGAGATGTTGTTTTAATGGCCTCCCAGCCCTTTGTTACTCAGACCCAAGCACGATGTCTGACCTGTGGAAGAAACAACTAGGGAGGGAAGAAGGTGTCGGCCATGTCAACAGGTGCACAAGGTGCCATTGGCTGGGGGAAGGCAGTCGAGCCTGCCCTCCTAACTTCCCCCACTGCTAAAATCCCTGCGTGGCCTGAGCAGAGCGGTGGTCTCTCCTGGCCTCACTTCCCTGGGGTTGGGAGAAGTCACTGGGGTGCTCATTTATCCTTTTTGAACTTAGTGCTGGAGAGGGTTGGACTGGAAGGTTCTCATTTGCAGGTAAGGAGGGGATTTTAGTCTCCAGCTGGTTTATAAGTTACCTAGCCTCAGACTAAAGGAAACTCAAAGCCAGGCCTACTCCAGGCCTCAGGTCATGCCCAGGAAATGTCTTCACAATTTTTTTAAATTTTATTTTATGTATTTTTTACATCGTTTCTCATTTTTGCACAATGTATGCATTTTCATCTTGGTTATAGTCCCCATACAATTCCCACCACCCTAGTTTTGATCCTACTCCCTCCTCCCCCACCTGTAGTGTGTCTCTGGTTTATAGTTGCTTATTGATTTTTCATTTTAATTAGTCTTTTTCCTGATCCCTTATTTAGGTTTTCTAAATTCCCGCTATGAGTGAGCCCATCTGGTATTTTTCTTTTTCTTTCTGGCTTATTTCGCTGAGCATGAACCCTTCCAGCTCCATCCATGTTGCTGCAAATTGCATGAGTTTATCTTTTTTGATTGCTGAGTAATATTCCTTTGTGTATATGTACCACATCTTCTTGATCCAGTCATCTATTCTGGGGCATTTGGGTTGTTTCTATAGCTTGTCTTCACAATTTTATGCAGAATAAGCTTAAACATTAAAATGTTATTGAACAGAGAGCTTAACAGGACAGCATCACAGTCAATGGAGAAGGAATTATGTGCATATTTGGGTTTAAAAAGTGATTAGGAGAAAGTGACACTGTCATTGTTACCTGTGGTAGGTTAGCATGAGAGTAGATTCAGGGGGCTTCACACGTGCCTGGAACCAGTGAAGATGGCAGTGACCTCTGAGAACTGCAGTGGCAGGTCTTGCAGCGTCCTGGGGACACACCAGAATGTTTTGTTTGCTCACATCTCAAGTTCTACCAGGCAGTTTTTCTTTAAAATGAATTCATAATCCTTATTGCTTTGGGCTATTACTAGATTAAATGAGCCAGTACAGTAAGTCAACATTCTTGAAAACTTAAAGTGAACGATATATAGCAGATCCCTGACGAACATCTTTTCATTCCATGTGGTTTCATTAAAACTTTGATGAGAACAAAACAATCCTGCCAACCATGTCAAAGGAAACATCCTCGGAGGACCTGCTTTCATTGTATGTCCTTTGGTTTCAAGTTGTAGTTTCCAAGAGCCTATTGGTGGCATTAGGTGAGGTCTGGCTGTATAACAAAGCAAGTCCTCAAATAACATTTTGTTCAGTGTTGGCTTGGATTGGTTTATTCTCATTGACATTAATGAAAGCACATTGACCAAAACAACATTATTCAGATCCTGCTGTGTATGGAGAACATTTAACTCAGCACTTGCCACCTTCGTGATGTCAAATGGAGTTGCTCCAAGTGGAGACTTTAGAAATGAGATGCAGCCACTGTGGGCGGGTCCGGGATCCGATCAGGCTCAGAGCTGGGGTGAGGGCCGTGGCCTTTAGAAGACCATCTTTGCCGGACAGTTTTTCAAATCTGGCTGGCCTTTAGAAGTGCCTGCCAGACAGACCTCTGACATTAATCTTGAAAGACCAGAACCCATTTATAGCCAGCATGCTCCCACACAAGACCCCTGGTTCTCCTCGCAGTCCCACCGAGCCTCTTCACCAGCTGCTCCTTCATGCAGCTCAGAAAATGATGACTCAGTTCCCCTAGAACTCCATGTAGGGGAGTAGAACTCCCATGTAGAACTCCATCTTATCAATCCCCCTTCACTATTCTGAAAGTACAAGGTCCCCCCTTACCTACGATTTCAAGTCCCATCGTTTCAGTTAACCATGGTTAATGAAATGACATACAATAAGATATTTTGAGAGAGAACATTCTTATAACTTATTGCAGCACACTATAATCATTCTGTTTTATTTTAGTTACTGTTGTTAATCTCTTACTGAATTAAATTAATAAATTATAATAAATTAAACTATCACAGGTATGTGTGCATGCTAAAGGACACAGTGCTTACAGGGTTTGATTTCAGGAATCACTGAGGCCCTTTTTTTTGTTTTTTAAAGATTTATTTATTTATTTATACAAGCACTGGGTACAGTCAGAAGCGCGGGAGGGTGAGAGAATTCACCAGAGCCAGAGAGGAGAGCAGAGCAGGCAGAAGGACCAAAGTACACTGCTGAGGGGAGCAGCGGGCGGCAGGAGAGGTCTGCGCGCCATGTGGGATCCTCCTCCGGTGTCTGGGGAGCAGCCGGGGATCGAACCGGCGCCACAGAGGCTGAGGGCAGCTTCGCAACCCAGCGCTCAACCACTGTGCCACCGGGGAGGCCCATCACTGAGGCTCTTGGAACATGTCTGCTATGAATGCGGGGGCGGGGAGGTGCTGCTATAATGAAAGGAAGTACCACAGAATGAGCTGGCGCAGGCTGAGTTCCCCTAGGGAAAGCAAAGCTCCCCCTGCTCTGGCCTCCACGCTGCTCCCCATTTTTCCTACACGTGCACTTGGCTTCCCTGTGCACACAGCAGGCAGCCATCTGTACAAAGCCACTAGCCTTGGCTTGTCTAGTTAAGTAGCTAGAATGTGTCCAGGGCCCCACGAACTTTGGGATCAGTGTCTTGGGCCAGGGCTGTCGTAACAGCCCAGGAACAGCTGTTCCGTGGATCCAGGCTCACAGGACAGTCTTTGTCTTTGGTGACTTGTTTGTGCCAAGATGCTGGGCGGGGGTCCATCTCCACATCCTTCTCCCCCTGAGAGAACATACACAGGCAGCATTGGAAGGAACTGAAGACCGAATTACCTCCTAACTAGTGTCCGTTACTCCTTGCCTTTCCTTCTCGCTCCCAGCCCTAGTCCTGTCTTTCCATTTGGAAAGAAAATGACCAACCAGACTGCCTCTGAATTTCCACAAAGGCTTGGTTTTCTCAAACCTTGCTGGAGACAGTGGCATGAAACCTGGTGACCACAGGGCTTCTCAGGGATGGAGCTAGTGTCTAGGCCAATGCTTGTCTCCAGACTGTAAAGAGCCAGGAGTCCTGAAAGGGGGTGTGCCTTGCACACTTTTTAGAGGACTGGTCAGCTGTGAGATTTTAGGGATAGGGTCATTGCAAGATCAAGGATCCTGCAAGGTCAGCCAAGGTTGGGGTTGGACACTGGGACTGCTGGTTTCCCGGGACTCGCGTCTCTGAAGGAGTAAAGTTCGCTTACCTTAGGGCAGGGACAGCAGCAGGGAGAATGGCTGTCTCCTCCGTGTCCCCCTAAGTGTCAGGTCAGCCAGGGCTCATCCTGAGTTGAGTTTAATTCTACTTCTCCCGCCCCCAGGAAGCTGAGCTGGAACGCCTGGAACGAGAGTTCGCTATTCAATCCCAGATCACGGAAGCTGCGCGTCGGCTAGCCAGTGACCCGAATGTCAGCAAAAAACTCAAGAAACAAAGGAAAACCTCTTATCTGAATGCACTGAAGAAGCTGCAGGAGATCGAAAATGCCATCAATGAGAACCGCATCAAGTCTGGAAAGAAACCCACCCAGAGGGCTTCGCTGATCATTGATGGTGAGTGCTAAACCCACTGGCCCTGTGTGGTCTCTCCCCTCCCACACACTCCCTGCACCCTCAGGAGCCGGCGCCACTCCTGTAGTGGGTCCCGAGCCTGCTGCCTGCACCATCTAAGCAACTAAGCTATTTAACCAGCCTGTGCCTTAATGTTTCCACCCATAAAATGAAAGCCTGATACCAGATGAGAGCAATAAAGTACACTCAAGTCCACAGATGAAAGGGATTATATTAAATCAAACTATCATTATCACTGTTTATTGCCTCCCTGGGGGAACCTGCAGCCCTAAGCTGAGCCCAGTTAACTGTGCCAGTCCAGGCTCTGAATTCTCAGGGACCTTGTCCCTATCCACATTGGGAAGGAATGTTGATTGGCTGGGGTAGGTGGCTGCCTGACTCTACCTTCAGTCTGACTCTCTCAGAGAGGGGCCTCCTAGCCCAAAGGAGGGGAGGGCTGGACCACTCCCTTCTGATTATCTAGAGGCCTGAACTCGGGTCAGAAGGGGTGAGGAGTTTGGGTAACTAGATTTGGAAACCACTGGAGTCTCCCCCAATCCACCAGCAACCACCAGGTCCCCCAACTATTATCTTTTTTACTCCAAGTCAACAGATTCTTCAAAATATACACCAAGAATTCTTTCATAGTGTGTGCATGTTTAAAGCACTTTTGCTTTAAAAAGACAAAGTAGACTGGGGAGGCTGGGCGGTGGGGGGGGGGGTCATTGGTGCTTAATGGGGTCAGTGTCAGGTTGGGAAAATGAAAAAATTCTGGAGATGGATGGCGGTGAGGGCTGTACACAATGTGAATATACTCGATGCCACTGAGCTGTGCAGCTAAAAATGGTTAAAATGGTAATTTTATGTTATATGTGTTTTACGTGTATGTGTGGGTGTGGGTGTGTGTATGTAGCAGCCATATACTCAAGATTCCCAGGTGCTAAAGGTCGATGCTTCTGTGTCCTGACTTTTGACAGTCCATGAAGCAATACAAATACAAGTAAATTTCTAGTTTCAAAAGAGAGGGACCATAACAAAAATTCCTTTGCTCTAGAACATTTGGAATAACCACCTTCCCCTATCTGTGTCCCTGGCCATGACTTTGTCACTTTTCCCGTCTTCCTAACAGAGCCAGCCCTTCTATTCCCAGTGTCTTTTGAGACCTCCTCCTGTCCCTGGAAGGCACTTGGGGCCTCCCAGCTCTGCAGACACATCCAGCATGGCCAACAGAGTCTGGGTGGGGCCAGAAGGGGATGACATCTTGCTGGTGTATTCCAGAACAGCATGGTTTACAAGCTGCCTAGTGAGGACTGTTCTGTAGGGCTGCCAAGAAGGGCCATTTGTACATCCTCATCTGTACCAACTGGCAAATGGGCCCCATCCAAGTTGGTAGCCATTTATTTTTGAACCACTCAAGAAAATAGCTTCTTTATTTTGCTGCCTCATTGAAATATCTTAGTCAGGAGAGCTCACTTGATTTAGAGGAGTATTTCAGGTTCTCCTTAGTCCTTAGCATGGCTTTTAATTTCAAGAAAAAAGGACTTAACTTAGACTCTGAAGACCTGGCATCCTTCACCAGTGGAGCAGAGCCACCCTGCTAAACCACCCCTCCCTGTCAGAGCCACCCTGCTAAACAACCCCTCCCTGTACATTCCTCAGTTTCCCCACTGTTAAATGGGGGAGGGATGTAGAATCAGCCTACTGTCTCCCTCTTGGGCATGTTCTCATGGTTAATTGAATGGTGTCTATAAAAATAAGCCTTGGGGAGAGAAGCTGTATTTAGCAGCTTGTTTTCTCTGCTAATGACTTGAGACGTTTATTGAGAGGCCATCGACTGCCATGCACACAAAGCCAGGTGCCTTACCCCAGTTTCGCATTTGTAGAGTAATAGCAGTGCACTTCCTTTGGTTTAGTTGGGACATGCCTGAGACGAGGCGGGGACAATGGTGTGGCTTAACCAGGCTCAGGCCTTTACAGTAGATATTAAGCTCCTCAGCATTGCAGTATCTGTAGAAACAAGAGCACAGATACCCAAAGACTGGGGCACCCTGCCGTATCGGGGTTAGAGGGATGAGCTAATGACCCACCGCAGCCACTACTATCAAAAGAAATACCCAGCAGCCTTTTGATTGTCTTCCAGAGATTCTTTTTCTCACTAGAAAAAGAAGGGTATGGAATGCTGCTAACCAAATGATTTTTCTAGGTAGGGCTTGGTCTGAGGAATGTGCTAAACTCAGACTTCTGTGTTTTGTCTTCTCAGATGGAAATATTGCCAGTGAAGACAGCTCCCTCTCAGATGCCCTTGTTCTAGAAGACGGTAGGTTTTCCATTCCCTCCTTGAGAACCTAGAGCACAGATTCAACTGGGGTTAGGCTGCGGATAGTCTGGGAACGCCGAGGGTAAGGGCAAGAGCCAGGTCTGACTGCAGCCGTGAGTTCGCTCATCTCCTGGTGTTGTGCATGTTTGGGGCTGTCTGTCTATTGGTGTTTTAGTGTTTCCTGTGGCCCAGAGGTAAGAAGTAAGGTGATGTTCAGTGAGTGGTGGTTCACTTTTTTAGTTGCCAAAACCACATTTTTAACCAGAAATAGTAAAAATGAAGGAGACATGGCCCATTGGATGCCTGGTGAGGCCTTGAAAGGTGATGTATTTCTTCCCCATTTGGTACTAAAAATCTGTGGCTATCAGGATATTTTCTTGGGAAATTCTGAGGAAAAAACAGAATTAATCTACAGTGCTCTACACCACCACATATAGAGGGAGAAGGAAGAATTCCAAGCACAAAACCACTTCATCCTGTTTCATATCCTGAAAGCCACAGTGGATATGAAACTATAAAAGGCTGGGCCATTAATGATGTGGAAATATATTAAGTGGTAGTGAATTGTTTTGCCACTTTGTGAAACTTCAGACAGGCAGTATTAAGTGGAAAAATGCGAAAGGTCTACCCAAGTCGTAGTCATAATGAAAACTGCAAAAATAATTGTTATTGATGTAGGGAAGGGCTGCCAGGTTATGTACCCAGTCGTCTTGGCCCTGCGATTAGCAATCTGATTGTAGTATTTTTATCATATGCTTCATGTCATGGGTGGAGAGGAAATGGGCTGCAGGGAGCAGGAAGACGTCTCCTGAGTATCAGATACCCAGCCCTAGTTGGGCCTCTGCGGACTCTCCAGGGGAGGGAACACATCAGTGAGGTTCCTTTGTAATAGGAGTTGGGAGAGCTATGTATTGTGACATTTGATGCATCCTTTGTGATTCCCCTTTCCACATTCCTGACCCCCAGATTTTAATGCTTCACTTGGACACTCCCCACCGCAGGCTTGCTCCTTCTAGGAGCTCTTTACTGATGTGAGGGGTAACAGAGGAGTAGAAGCACAGTGCATGCCCACAGTTCAGGTTGGAGACTAAGAAGCAGGCGGAAAAGAATCCTAGCTGGACATGGACTTAGGGTCAAGTGTAAGGCAGTTGGAGTTTTGAGTTTGCCTTTGTGTATTTTTCCTGTCAAACCCCCACCTCTGCCTTCACAACAGTAATTTCTTCCTCCCTCTCCGTGGTCAATGCTGCCTTCCCCCTTGCAGGAGGATAGCCCCACAGGGGATAGCTTCCTGACTCCCTCTCCAGCCCCATTTTTGAACCCTGCCTGATGACTGGTTTCAAACAGGATTTTCATCCTGAACTACCTATGCTTAAAAAGTTTTCCTGTGGCTTCAGACCAAATCCTGAAGCCTTAGCCTGGAAGGCAGCTGGGGTACTGCTTACCTCAGTGCACACAGTAAGTCTGCGGCACCTGAACTTGACCAGATCACCTCCCTCTCCCCGTCTCGTCCTCCTTACCACCTGACATGGCCTTGCTGCTGCCTGCACACCTCACCCACAGCTCCCTCCTTGACTAAGGGAACTGGACTTCTCTGAACATCCCACAGCACTGGATGTGTTAGATTCGAATCCCCTCAAAGTGGGGAATAACCTATTCACATTTAATATTCGTAACCCATCACTTTCCAAAGAATCTAAGGTAGTTCCAAAATGAAAGCATCACACCGGACCACTTAAAACACAATTTAGATCGTCCTAAAACAGAGTAGATGGATGCCTAGCACCCACAGCAGGTAATTACACTTGACAGATGTACTTTGATTGTTTCCAACAAATATTAAACACCTACTCGGTGTCAACAGTCATTCCAGACACCTGGGATGTAACAGTCAGCAAAACCCTATGGAGCTGAAACTCTCCTAAATCATGTTAGGTGCTTGCTGTGTACTGAAAGAAAACATAACAGTATAAAAATGACTACATTTTGCTGTTTGGTGTGAAGCATTTATTAGCCAATGTTATTTAATGAAGTTCAGGCCTCCCTCCATTTGTAGCTAACAGAAGCGAAACTTTTCTTCCCATTTAATGCTGCTCAGAGTTTAGGCTTGGCTTGTTCTGGATTGACGTGTCTTGGTAGCTGATGAAGCCAGAGGTTCCTCCACACAGTGATTTGCCTGGAGGAGAGGCAGAGGTGGAGTTCGGGTTTGGGGGGAGCAGGGGAGTCTGTCTCAGTGGGGAAGATGACCCTTGCTCAGTTCCTCTCTTTCCGTCTCTGTGCAGAAGACTCTCAGGTCACCAGCACACTGTCCCCCTTACAGTCTCCACACAAAGGACTCCCTCCTCGGCCACCATCGCACAACAGGCCCCCTCCGCCCCAGTCGCTGGAGGGACTCAGACAGATGCACTATCACCGCAACGACTATGACAAGTCACCTATAAAGCCCAAAATGTGGAGCGAGTCCTCCTTAGATGAGCCTTATGAGAAGGTCAAGAAACGTTCCTCCCACAGTCATTCCAGGTGAGCTGGGCAGAGGAGGGCGAATGAGGTCTCGGTGCTTTGCGAGAATGGAAGGGCTGTCCGGGTGGCTCCCACACAGTCCAAAACCCCATCAACCCAACGCCTTCCTGGGCCGGCCCTTCAACAGTGCTGTGCTCATAGCGCGCCCTCTGCTGTTAAGGTGCAGGTTTGTCATTCCAAGGGAATTTGGGCTTTGGCTCAACTGTTGGCAGATGGTATTAATGTTAAATTCCACAGGAATTAATTAGGACATTTTAGGCAGCACTATTCTGAAGTGACAGCTGAGCGTCCACTTGCAGGAATCCCACAGTGGCTCAGAAGCCTAAGCCATCATCCAACAGAATTCTAGAGCCAAACAGCTGTGCATTATCAGCTCATTTCTCAGCTGGTATTATGGAGAGGGGTTTTTTAGCCGGTGTCTCTGTTTTTCTCATTTCCTTTGAGTTGGTGCCCTAGACAGGTAAATTATTTTCTCTTAGAAAGCAAAAGCCAGGGTTAGGGTTAGGGTTTAGGATTTGGGTTAGAAGATGAGAAAAAAAAAAAAAAGAAGAAACCAGAAGTCAGGTTTGAGGGGAGGGGCCTCACAGAATAGCCACACTGCCTGTCCCCGAGAGGCTCTTCATTATCTCAAGGACTAGGACCCTCCTCCCACTTCTGGAGGAAAGGCTGAGAATCAGAGGAGAGCTCTGAGGGAGCACAGCCCAGGCAGTTCTGGACAAGTTTCCCAACACCGACACTGTCAGCCCCAGGCTGGTTAGCTACCTGGAAAGGCTGGAGTTCTGTCTGGCAGTGACCAGCATGGCCTCCTCTGGTTTACAGTAGCCACAAGCGTTTCCCCAGCACGGGCAGCTGTGCCGAAGCAGGAGGGGGAAGCAGCTCCCTGCAGAACAGTCCCATCCGTGGCCTCCCCCACTGGAACTCCCAGTCCAGCATGCCGTCCACACCAGACCTGCGGGTCCGGAGTCCCCACTACGTTCATTCCACGAGGTGAGTCTACCAGGCCTTCAGGCCCCTTCCTTGCATGGACCAAAATTTGATAAATTTATAGAATCTGGCATTGCTGGCCCTAAATAACCAGTGAAGCAGAGTCAGACCTGAACCAATGAGTAGAATAAAAACAGAACTAGCAGCAGTGAGCTTATATTAGCCCAGAAACACATTATGTCCCACTGTCCAACCCCGTGGGCACCTGGAGACAGTGGCAGGGAAGGAGCTTTCCTAATGGAAACAGAGGAGGAAGGGAAGCAGAAAAGAATGCCACGGCCAGGACAACTTCTTACTCTTGGGGATGATCTTCACTGAGTACTCCTCATGTGTCTTTCTATGACGGCTTCATTTTATCCTGAATCTTTTAATGCCTCAAGATGTAAATCCACTGAAGAGCAAAAGGAACAGGTAAAAGTGAATCCCACCTTCATTTTCTAAAAAGAGGCAAACCCAAAGCCACCATTGTCTTTTATCAAAAACTGACCCAAAGGGACTGTAGCTCAAAGGACAGATGGTATGTCTCCTGTAAGTAATGATACACTTCATTTAGAATAAGAATGAGCTCTCCAGGCAAGATTCTCTCATCCATGCGACAAATGTTTATCTACCTGTTTGTACCAGGTCCTGTTCTAGGAGGCAGAACAGTAAATAAACCAGACCACACCTCTGTTCTCATTGAACACTCTCACTGGGAGAGTCACAGTGCAAGAGGCTAGGAGTGAAAGGGAAGATCATCTTTTAAACAGAAGCCTCAGGGAAGCCCATTTTAACAAAGGTGACCTGAGACCTGGAAGAACTTGGACAGCAAGCTCTGAGAACATTCAGGGAATCCCTGGGGGAGGAACCAGGAGCCACCTGGTGGGGACCACATTCTACCCAGAGTGACAGAATTGGAATTTGCCCCTCCCTGTTCTTGGCCAACAGGGCAGCTGTAAATTTCACATGTAGTCTGTGCATCTCTGTGGCAGCCACGTCGCTGGGTGTGTCTAGTGCAAACTCAAATCGGCAGCGTGGATTATAAGCAGAATAGTGCATCATTCATTTTTAAGTGTTCCATGTTCCACCCACCTTCCAGTGGGACATGGAAATCTAGTTATGTGGGGCTCATGACAGGATTTGGTTGGGCCATGCCTCTTCAGGACTGGGCTTTGATCTACATAATGGGGCATTTTGTTTGGTTTAACATTACATGAGAATGGGGATTCTCTTGGTTCTCTCTCTATAGAATCCCTTTCCACATTAAGGGAAAAAGACACACCCTGACCGTTGGCATACCTTTTCCCAGAGGAATCGCTCACAGTGGGTGTTGCCTTCAGTGGAGGCCCAGGTGCCTCCATCCCTGTCTTCACAGTAACAATGGGAAGCACCTGGGTTCCCAAAGGGCCACCCTACCTCCACTGCTCCCAAGCCACCCTCTTGCTCGAGGCTCTCACTCACCTGATGTTCTGCCCTTCCTCAGTCTGGTGAAGGCACAGCCTCAGTCCAGCCCCCTGGTGGCCCTTCCCTGGTCACCCCCGCCTCACCCACCCTGCCATCTCCCCACAGATCGGTGGACATCAGCCCCACGCGACTGCACAGCCTTGCACTGCACTTTAGGCACCGGAGCTCCAGCTTGGAATCCCAGGGCAAGCTCCTGGGCTCCGAGAATGACACTGGGAGCCCCGACTTCTACACCCCACGGACTCGTAGCAGCAACGGCTCCGACCCCATGGACGACTGTTCCTCCTGCACCAGCCACTCCAGCTCGGAGCACTACTACCCCGCGCAGATGAACGCCAACTACTCCACGCTGGCGGAGGACTCGCCGTCCAAAGCGCGCGCGCGGCAGCGGCAACGCCAGCGGGCGGCGGGCACTCTGGGAGCGGCGAACTCGGGCAGCATGCCCAACCTGGCGGCGCGCGGCGGCGGCGCGCACGGGGTGTACCTGCACAGCCAGAGCCAGCCGAGCTCGCAGTACCGCATCAAGGAGTACCCGCTGTACATCGAGGGCAGCGCCACGCCGGTGGTGGTGCGCAGCCTGGAGAGCGACCAGGAGGGCCACTACAGCGTCAAGGCGCAGTTCAAGACCTCCAACTCTTACACGGCCGGCGGCCTCTTCAGGGAGAGCTGGCGCAGCGGCGACGAGGGCGACGGGGGCCGGCTGACGCCATCGCGCTCGCAGATCCTGCGGACTCCGTCGCTGGGCCGAGAGGGCGCCCACGACAAGGGCGCGGGTCGAGCCGCCGTGTCGGACGAGCTGCGCCAGTGGTACCAGCGCTCCACGGCCTCGCACAAGGAGCACAGCCGCCTGTCACACACCAGCTCCACCTCCTCTGACAGCGGCTCCCAGTACAGCACCTCCTCCCAGAGCACCTTCGTGGCACACAGCAGGGTTACCAGGATGCCCCAGATGTGCAAAGCCACGTCAGGTGAGGGGGGGGGTGGTCACAGGAGAGTGGCCCTGGGTGGGAACTCTGCACTCATTTTGAGGACCGCCACACTGCTTAAGAGCATGCCCTGAGAGAGAATTAGTTCTGTAAGATCTCACCTCACTGTGATCTTTGAGACTGAGGTCGCTCAACCCCTCTCTGCATTCCCTCCTTGACTCCTCCCAGTCAAGCCCTGGTTTTGCCAAGTGACAAAGACCTTCCAGGGGCAAGTACATCTTTCCGTCCAGGGCATGTGAGCCAACCTGCTTCTATCAGTTTCCTTAGTAGGTGTACAAACCATCCCCCAGCCAATTCTTGTAAAGACAAAAATCCAAGTGATGGGAAGCATTCTGTGTTGACCCTTCAAAGTTGCACCATTACCCTGGTGAAGTGACATAAGTTAGGGACCCCAATTGTGTTCTTGCACAGGAATGCTGGCATGGCATGCACATGGACTTGGGTTCTAAAGCTCTATGATTTAGCCTTTGTCTCCCCAGTTGGGGGCAGACTGGCTAGTTATGATGGCTAGAGTCTGCATTTGACTTCACTTTGACTGTAGATGTAACTCCTGACTGCTGCTTGAGTTCCCATTTCAATGATGTTGACATAACCAAAATAATTTTTATAAGATACTTTTAGTATCCTGATAGTACATCTTACAATTTTCATAATCAAATCACAGGTGACCTTATATTCTTGGATTTAAAGTATTATGCAGTAATGAGTGAAAAATGGAATAAACCCTCCTTTGCCTTAAGAAATTACATTCCCTTCCCACTACCTCTAGAAAGAATAAGGAGGCTAGTAACCAACATTTCTTCAGCAGTCACCATATGTGGGTGGGATTCTCAGTACTAGCATATGGGGTGACTTGTACAGTGATAAACAACTGTAGCAAAGTAGAATGGAGGCGTATTCTAAGACCTAATAAAAATGAGTAAAAGGAGTAAAAATATAAGAAAAGTCAGCAGCAAATGGAAGGAATCAGGAATATGATGTGTGACCAGAAAGAGGGTTACGTAAAGGTACAGATAGGGGGGAGGGGAGTGACCTTAAAGACAGATAATGAAGGGCTCATGTTTGGGGGACTGAAGGAAATTCTTAGGGCCTAGAGAGAGCAGAGAAGAGAGGAGGAGCTGGCTGCCCACATGTGCCAGGCCTCACAGCTCGTGCATTCTGGCCCACATACACAGGGTTCTAGGAAATTATGGCGCATTGGCTGAAAGGCAAGTTCCAAAGGATAAAAATGACTCAGGCAATCATGAAAATACCATAGTACTTATTTTCTACTAAATTTTCCCAGAGAAAAATTCTGCCCACATCAGTAAACTAGCAGGTGGATTCAGATGAGTGATTAAAAGCCCTGCTCCCTTTGAAGTGTACTAAAGTGGTAAATTATAAGCCCGAAATGGCAGGGAGAAACTAGCACCAACCACCTTCCTGAAGGCTCTGTTCAGAGTGCAGGGCACAATTTTAACAGAATGCTCTGAGTCTAATTTCCCTAGTGTTAAGAACTAGGCCCTTCCTACATTAAGATCCTGCCTAGGTCTCCCTCATGGAAGGCTACTGTGGAAGCTATTGCCATTCCTGTGGCTCCTTCCTAGTTGCAAATTGGGGACCTACCATCCTAAGCTTGACTCAGAATGGAGCTGCATTAATTTGGGGGAGAAAGTGTAATTGGCCAAACAGGGAGATAGATGATCCTGACTTGACACTGCTATATAAGCTTCTTCACCTGATCTCTGTCTGCCCTGTCTTTCCTTTGACACCTATATGCAGCTGCCTTACCTCAAAGCCAGAGAAGCTCAACACCGTCAAGTGAAATTGGAGCGACCCCCCCAAGCAGTCCCCACCACATCCTAACCTGGCAGACTGGGTGAGTTTCCCTTTCAGACCTTTAATCCTCCTCTTCCAGACCCTAGAATGATCTTCAACATTCCTCATTGATTAGGAAGAGTATAATAAATACATGATCCTGGTGACCTAAGGGTTAATCAACAAAAAAAAAAGGAAATACTGATTACTGGGAGGCTTCTTCCTTTCCAGAAAAGCCCCATGCATTGCTATTGCCTTCTATTCAACTCCTTTCCATCACTGTCCCTTTATAGGAGTGAATTCTCTCTATTTTTATAGTAGGTGAGAGTCCCGGGAAAGTGGGGGAGGTAGATACAGGAATTCAAACTATGGTCAAACTGTGCTTCCTTGGTCAGAATTTTAACATTTGATTTGGATTCCATTACACCAGGTCAACTTCAAATGCCAGGCAAGTATGAGAGAGAATGAATTAAATGAGCTGTTCTGGGCCCTGGGCCTGATGTCTTCCATGCTTCTTTGTGTGCTCACTATGTTGGGATCAGGATGAATCTTAAGGAACAAAGCAGGAGGCTCAAATCCCCTCTCTCTCCTGGCCAACTGCTTGTTCTTGAGACTTTCAGGAAGCTGCCCACAGCAAGCTAATGAAACTGAAGCTCAAACTCCTTTTATAGCTTTAAGTGTAGACACAGAGCATTGTAATCTTGTGTATGCATAGCTATTTTGATCTAGTGAAGTCTGGCAGACACAGCTACCCTACTTCCCTCCAATTCCTGCTGTTACTTCTAAGTGAATGTCACATTTTTATCAATACCCATTGGTTAAGAGAATGGGCGGGACCCTTTATACTTTCTCCAGTTTCTAGTTTGCTGGAACATGGTAGGCATGTCTGCAAAATTTTGACAGCTGCCTATGAGTCAGATCATTGTGAAACAACAGAAGCGGAACTGGCTCCACTGACTGCATTTCAGGCTCCCACACTGAGCAGATTTCTCTATAGAGTCCTCTGTAGTGATTGTAGCCCAGGTTCTGTGGGGCCTTAGTATTTGATGGAAGAAAAGGGGAGCTACTGTTTATTGAGGACTTGTTGTCTACTCAGTTGATGGAGCTTCCTCTAACAGATAAGTGCTTATTTAATCCTCACTACAACCTTGCAAGGGAACTACTGATCTTTTAGTTTTATAGATGAGGCTCAAAGAAAATAAGCAGCTTTCCCAAAGTTATACAGCTGGATGTAACTGGAATTTCAGTCCTATGCTAGAACCCAGAAGTCCAGTCCTTTTGCAATGAAATGTGGTCCCCAGATCAGCATGTGCATAGCTGTAAATGTAGATTCTTGGGCCCATCCGTAATCAAAAACTCATAATTAAAAAAAAAAGACAACTCAAACTGCCCAGCAGTCTGTTTTAATAAGCCCTTCAGGGGATTCTGAACTACCACCCATAGCTTCTACTTGTGAAATAAGAGAACCTGCAATCCCAACTACAGTATTCTTAGGCCCACTCTCACATCTTGCTTACCTTGAATGCAGCTGCTATGCTTTTGCCCTTGTTGGAGATCATGTAAAAAAAAGTCACATACTGTTTATACCTGACCTGACTCCAGCTTATGTGGTCAGGCTGCCTCTGCAATGCCTAGCACCCAAGGGGCTCACCAAGAATATTCATGAAAGAATGACAGAGCTTCTATATATATGGTACTTGAGAAATTTAGGATCTCAAGCTCTCTGGATCCTCCAAATTTTCTGGCTCATGCCCACCTCTTACTTGATCCAAATATATGATTGCTGTTTGACAGTAGGCTCCAAAATTTACAAGCCCTCTCCCCACCCTTCCCCACGCTGTGCCATCCCACTGAAGATGGTCTTAAAACCATGTTTTACCACAGGCAGCTAGTGAGGATCTGAGACAAATTTGAAACAAAAAGTCGTTTTGATCCTTGAAATAAACTCTTAAGAGACTGAGATATGATTAACAAACAATAACTGTTCCCTATGATGTGGCAAGAAAATGAGAAGGGTAAAAACTACAAAAGTCTACCTTCCTACCAAAACTTAGAGCTTATTTACTGAATCAGGGGGATTGTAAGCTCTGCAGGACATACAGTATTTGTCACTAATGGGTATGTAATCAACCAGTCTTTCCAATGTATTAGTAAGCTACTAATCATGTCTGTTTCAGTTCCTCTCTTTAATAACATGACCTCTCTTCTCTTCCTTCCTCTGCTTTCCTTTGTTCAGAGAAGCAACAGAAAACTCACCCATTATGGATGGGTCTGAGTCTCCAACTCACCAAAGTACTGATGAATAGAGGTATTGTAAGGGAATGTTTTGTTCTTAAAGCCCTTCCCTGGTTATGAGTTTGTGATCTCAGATGTGCTGCATATGTGTTCCCTTACCCATATCATCATTTCCAGAAGGAAACATCTGAATGATGTGGAAGACATTTTTATGTCTTATTTTTAAATACATGTGCAACTATGTTTATGTGTTTTCACATCACATGTCAGATATTCTCAACACTACTTCCAAATACGACCTCAGATTCTTTTAGGCCTTCCTAGACTTTACATGCATATAATACTTGTAAACTTTTTTTTTACTGGTTTAGTAATCAATATCCATGAAAAAGAAAAAAGCATTAGGTAATTTACATTTCAAAGCACCAAGGGTAAACTGGGTTGAACAAGAAACCTTGAAAAAAGATCACCCATAATTTCATCCTAGCATTCTTGAGTGACAACTGTCTACCAAATGCTGTAAGGTACTGCTTTCCAAAATGTGGTCCACAGATCAGCATTATCATCAGGGAGCATGTTAGAAAGCTAGACTCTGCCAAATTCAAAGGGGTATTTTTAAAAGATCTCTGAATGAATCAAATACACATTGGAATTTGCAAGTACTGCTTACAGTGGGTGTAAAAACAATAACACATAATCTGGTTCCTGTCCTCAGGGACCAAAATCTAACTGGGAGACAAGACATAGAAGTTATGTAGCATTGCAAGGGTGTTACTATAAAAAGGATACCATTCAGTAACGGATGAAAGGTTTATTCAATGAAAATAATCAAACCCTCACTATAATCCAGGAACCATACTACAGACCAGCTATCCTAGACTATAAGTTCAAATCAGTAATTTGAAAATCTATCAGGAAATGTACTAGGGGAATAAGAAACTGCAGCATTAAACATATCACTTCAGGCATTAGATAATGCCCTTCTTAGAGTTTAAAACCAAGATTGTATAAAAGACATCTGCTGATCAGGCTTTTCCCATTATCTGAAAGTAGAACATTCCTGTTTGGTACGATGTGGTAGAATGCTATTACCATTAATTTATATGAAAAAGAAAATGGACTAGGAAGTTGTATTTTCAGATAGTAGGAGCAACGTGTAAGTACAGGTAACTCATCTTTTGGTTTCTGTTTGCATGAAATATCTTTTCCCATCCCTTCACTTTCATTCTGTTTGTGTTCATACATCTGAAATGAGTCTCTTATAGACAGTATGTAGATAAGTTTTGTTTAATCCATTCTACCACCCAACGTCTTTTACGAATTTTGCTAATTTACATTTAAAGTAACTATGGATAGTTGCGCTAATTGTTTTCTGGCTATTCTTGTAGTTCCTCTATAGTCTTATTCTCTTGCTCTCTTCCCTTCTGGTTTGATGATTTTCTTTTTTTTTTTTTTTTACTTTTTTTTTTTTTTGTGGGACCCTTGCCGGAGGCCGGGGAACAAACCGGCACTGCAGAGGCTGCCAGCAGCCTCGCAGCCCAGCTCTCAACCGCTGCGCCACCAGGGGAGGCCCATGGTTTGATGATTTTCTTTAGTGTTACACTTAGATTGCTCTCTCATGATCTTTTGTGTATAGCCTAAGTTTTGCCATAAGGCTCACAGAAACTGACTATATCATATCTGTGTCTGTCAGTCTATTTAAGGTTGATATCAACTTAAGTTTGAATCTTTAAATATTGGCATTCAGTTATAATGTGTCTTGGTGTGGATCTCCTTAAGCATATCTTACTTGGAACTCTTGGGATTCCTGGATCTGATATCTGTTTCCTTCCCCAAGGTAGGGAAATTTCTAGCCATTACTTCAAAACAGTTTTCTACTCCTCTCACTTCTCCTTCAGGGATTCCTACAGTGCAGATATCCACTTGATGTTGTCCCAAAGATCCCTTAAGCTATCTTTACTCTCATAAATCTATTATTTTTTGCTGTACTGTTTGGGTGATTCCCTGTGTTCTATCTTTTATCACTGATCCTTACTTCATCTAGTCTGCTACTGACCCATCTGGTATATTTTTCCAGTTGTAAAATTTCCCATTCCTCCTTCAGCTCAGTGAGCATCTCTATAACCATTACTTTGAACTCTGTTTAAGATTTTTTTCCCCTGAGGTTTAACTTATTCTTTCTAGGAACACATATTCCTGTTTCCTCTTTTTACTTGAGTCTGTATGTACTGGGCAAAAAGCTAACTCTCTCAGCCTTGAAGGAGTGGCTTTGTGTAGGAGGCGAATCTATTGTTCAGCCTTGCCCTATCTTTTGGTTGTCTCTCAAACCTTTGTGATGTCAAGCAGGGTTGTTGAGGGTATGCCAAGAGGCTCAGCCAGCACCTATTTTCAGAGTGAGTAGAAGCCAGACCCTCGGGCAGCAGCATTTAAAGTATGCAAATATATCCTGTCCTGTTGGGCTGCAATTGTAAACCCTGCTGCCCTTCCAACTAGGCAATCTAGTGGTGTCCTAGGCAATAGTTAGAAAAATCAGGGCTCCAGTTTAGTGTATAAAGACTCCTTTGAGCCATGAGGCTAACAAAGTGCCAAGATGGCATCTCCCAGCCTATAGTCCCTGAGAGTAACTCTGTAGATGTGTGGCAAGCCTGTTGCTCTTAAGGAAGAAGCTCCAGGACAAGTCAACAAGGTCTTCACAGGAAGACTGGGAATCTGTTTAGATTTGCTATCTGTGCAGTGAGTGCCCTGAATGAGTAGTCCCCAAGAACTTTCCAATTGTTGTGGTCACCTAGTTCAGGCACACAAGCCCTCCTTGGTCACCAGAGTCAGGAGATCAATGTGCATTCCCTGTGCTCTGCCAACAGCTTTTGTGAGGTAGCAGGAATGTGCAAACCTGGGACACAACCAGGGCCTTTAGCAGGGCAGTGTAAGAATACAGGGAAGGCATATATCCTCCAGTGCCTTCATCCCTAGGGAGGCCCAATAGGCCCACTACCCCTTCACTAGACAACCCAAAATTAGCAAATGAATCTCTTTCACATAGTCTAGGTGCATTTCAAACTGCTGCTTTGCATTGGGCCTGCAAATGAGCCCTTTAAGAATAGTACATTAGTTCCAGAGTGTAGGTCACCACACCAGGGGTATAAGATCTTTGATGAGACTGCATCTCTTTCTCCTATCTGTCTCAATGTGGTCCTTTTATCCTTTACTGTGAAGGGCTGTTCAACTAGTTTTCAGGTCTTTTTCAGAGGATTTGTTCCATATGTAGCTATAAATATGGTATGTCTGTGGGAAGTTCAGGATCTTCCTATGCTGTCACCTTAGACTGCCCTTTTAGAAGCCACTTAAATGCTCACATATTTGCATCTGAAAAAGAAATCAAACATATATAACTGGGACAATGAGAACAAACATGGAACCAGGGCTTGGTAGCTCTCTGTCCATCTCTACCTCCACTTCTGCACCTGGTAATTGCATTCTCAGAGGGAAACTGAAATATTCATCGTGTGAAAGCTGGTCACATGCCCATGTTTGATCTAGTAACGATGGCTGGGTTCTAATTGGCCCAGATGGGTGTCATTCTATACAGGTAGAGAAGGAGTTTGCAGAGTGACTAACAGAATTAACCACTTACCACGTTAATACAGTAATGTTTATTGGTCAGTATCCTAACTTATGTTATGTTACTTTGCATCTGAAACCACACTGAAGCAATTTTAACCCCAGTGTATTTCAAGAGTTCCAGATACATGACACTCCAAAGTCTACAATGCTCACAGATGCCTTAGGATTCTCCAACTTTCATGGGGTTTTAAAAGAAAGCCAGACGACATACATTTAGAAAATCCAGAATACTTTCATCTATTTGTTCCTTAAGAAGTCAATAAATCAAACAAAAAAATGAGGATGACTGCTTATTCTCCTATACTGATTCATGAGACTATACTGATACTCTTTCAACTAGGTTTTCTTTGAACCATGTCAGATTTGGGTCTCCTCTGATAACCCATTCCCAACTCTATGCCTAGCCTAGGTATGCTCTGGGGAGAATGAACTTTAAAATGCAGCTTTAACATCACACAGACCTGCTAACCCAAAGTCACAAATGAACATCATTCATAGTCGACAGAAACATTACTTCAAAAGCTGAGAACTAAAGTTAAAGGCATACAGTTTTCATCCCTTTAGAAATACACACAAGTGAACACTCAGAGGTTACTCCAAATAAAAGCTAAAAACAAAGAAAGGCACCTTCAAGGCACCCCAGGTTACTCTGCAGCTAGTGCTGGACAGTGCTGAGGTTAACCAGTCAACTAAGCCAGCATTGGGGGCTGCTACCAGCAGGGCTGGGAGAGAGGGACATACAACTATTTCCTCAGGTGCAGGGGCAGCTACGGACAGATTTCAGCCCCTGGCTAATGCCCTGTCAGCTTTTTCCTGCCCTCACACTGAGAATAAGTTTGATATTTATTTTTCCCTAAAAGAACTAGTTTAGTAGGAGAGGGGATATTTTTCCTAATAATGATCCCTAGTAAAGATTATTGCTTCTAATGATACTCTAAAGTGTCGTTACATGTCTATATGATCTACATATGTATATGATGACTTCTAAAAATTACTTATACCCAACCTAAATGCTTACCTGAAAAGGTTTTTCAAAAGTCTCTTATTTTGCAGATGTTCTATTGTCAACACACTTTTTTAGAATCACAAAACAGCTGACCCCTGAACAGTGTGAGGGAGCTAGGGATGCCGAATTTGTCCCTCCACCCCCCACAATAGAAAATCTACATATAGCATGACTCCTCCAACACCTACCTACTAATAGCCTGCTATTGACTAGAAGTCTAACTGATAACATAATCAGTCCACTAATATATTCAGTATGTTTTATGTATTCTCTTACAATATACAATAAAGAAAAAAAATGTTGATAAAACACATTTACAGTACTATATTGCTACCATAAAGCTTGCATTGTCTGCTACAGGGAAATCCATGTGTAAGTGCATTCATGCAGTTCACATCTGGTTGTTCAAGGGTCAGCTGTAAATACTACTTAAAATAAACTCAGCAATGATTCACAAACTTTCAAAATAATACCTCACTTTCATTATAGGAAAGCTGACATTTTGAAAGTATTACCAGCACAAGGTAAAAATCTACTAGTGAAATCTGGTTACCCCTGCTGAAGAATCCAGCCTGAGAGGATCTCAGTGTTGGCAGCACAAGAAAATCACTTGGGGAACTCAGAAAGCTCCCGATGCTCAACCACATCCCAGACCAATCATACCTACCTTTTCATGGTGAGGGTCAGGCAGGATTTTTCAGAGTTCCCAAGTGATACAATTATGTAGGCACCCTTGAGAACCACTGCTTAAGTGTTACCTCCATTCTCCTCCTTCACAGACATTCAAAGTTTATGTCCCCTTTAGGTGGAGTTTTTTCCATCTACAAGAGTCTTCCATATGCTGAGCACTGTAGAGTATCATCAGTTCATAGCTCCTTATTGACAGGAAGACTAGTGATCAATATCACACCCTGTATAAACAAACTTAGAATAAAACAGTCATTCTCCACTGTCTAATCTCCCTTCTTGGATTCCCTGCAGGAGCTACAGTGATAGCTGTTTCCTGGATTCCTCCCTCTATCCAGAACTAGCTGACGTCCAGTGGTACGGGCAGGAAAAAGCCAAGCCCGGGACCCTCGTGTGAGCCTGCCGGCCTCAATCTGACCGCCTCAACGCCATTCTGAGATCACCTCACTGCCTCTCATTTGCCTTACCCAGACGCACTGTCTCCCTGCACCAGCTTCAGCCCTCAGCACTTTTTTTCTCCCGTCTCCGCATCCCCTTACCCTCAAAAACCTGACTGAGGAGACATCCTGGAAGGTTCCGGTCCCACTGTGTGTCCCCTGTCTCTCTCACTCACAGAGAGCCAGGCAACAATCCTCAAAGGCACCTTGGTGGCTTCCCCCTGCCATGACAGCCCCCAGCCAGGAACCATCAGGGAAGCTGGCAGGCATCAAATACCTGTGGACAAGTGGCATTGGCAGAGAACAGAAAAGGGGACTTAAATACAGGGTGATCCAGAAAGACTATTCATCTGTGGCCAGCCTGCCACCTTAGGCCAGCCAAGCACTTAGTGAAGAGGATGCCTCTCTGGGATATTCAGTTTACACCTGAAATATTCCCTAAGGGAGGGGCTGTTGGGGTAGGGGGCAGAATGAAAAAGGAAGCTTAACACATCAGAGATGCATCAGAGGATCACAATCAGTTCTATGCTGCCAAAGATTTAAAAACAAAAAGAGACAAAAAAAAAAAAAGAGGGGCCAAGAGGAAAGACATTCTGCAATTTCTTTTAAATTCTAAACCACTACTAAACACAAGTGAAAGTCAACCATTTGTAAATTGTTTCCCCTCTTTACCCAGCTCCCTCATTCCACCTTCTCTCTCAGTCAAGAGCCTGAAAAACTAATACAATGTGATGGTTAAGAGGGGAAAGTAATGGCTGGTACTGCTGACTCAGCTCTTCAAGAGTCTGGATGTGAAGGAGAATGGACCTGTGGGAGCAGCAGTGTACTGTCAGCCCTAGTCTGTACAGGGGCTTTAGCCCACGCCCAAGACACCACGCTGCTTTCCTTTTGAGACTGTAGGAAACTAAGGTGATGATTGCCAAAAGTGGATCTCATTAAAACAACCAGTAAAAGTGTATCCTATTTTTTGCACAAGGTGTTTCATTTTATTTTTTATGGGAAACCAAGGGAAAAGCACATCGCAATCCATTCAAGTGTTTAACTGTCGTGGCTCATTTTATGTTTGTTAGCACTTGTGTGACAAAGCTCAGATCCGACCAATGTGTCACTTATTCAAAGAACCCAACTATGCCCTTAGGTAGAAAAATTTTACTCACATGTCTACTAGCTAGCAGGCAGAGCAGGGTTGAAAAAAATATCAGCTCCCAGAGGGCCCATATGCCTACAACGTCATCAGCTTCCTTGATGCACCAGATTTGTCTGCAGAGACCAAAAGAGGAAGAAGAGAAAAAGTGTATGGGAGCTGAACGTTTACATGTGTTTTGAGCTATGCTTAACACACAAATGGAAAGCCATCAATCTTCAAAGGCCTCAAAAATACTTTTATAATAAGTGCAACTCTTTGTTGGGTTACTCAAAATGGCACAAACACGGTCTCCACAGAGGTGGTATGCTGTGCTTATTGGCGCAAGTGGGGGGTGGGGGGATAATTTTTCTCACTTGTAATGACTTCCTATTGGAAAGGCATTTGACAGCCAGGGACAGGAGCCGGGGTGGGAGTAGTTTTGTGGGAAAGCAGAACTGAAGTTAGCTTTAGCATAAAAAGAAAAATTGTCGTCTTTTATGTATGTGTAATCCAAGAATAACAATAGACTCTACAAGACCAGGAGGGCAAGAGTGGACATTAAAATTAAATAACCACTGTGCTCCTTTTGCTGTAGCTAAAAAAGCACCATGGGTGTCGAGGTGGGGGCCCTCACCAGGCTGGGACCTGGCTGAACAATTAGGGCCTGGCTTCCCAGCTCTGCACTGGGTTGGTGATGCCAGCTTGCAGAGGGATTAGCATTCGCAGAACACTTTAGGGGTAAATCCTACTGGATAAAGCGAACAGTTTCTAATGTTACTGAATAATTATAGGGATTATGGGGCGGGAGGGGGAATTTTTGTTGCTTTTATTTTGATGGTCAGAGCTACAAAGAGCAGTTTTTTCCTTCCCCATTAGGAAACATTATACATTAGGCCATTTTTCTTTCTCCCAAAAGAAGATACATGGATAGTCAGACTGTACTATGAGCAACAGGAAAAGTCAAAAGGGAAACAGAGAAGTTGACAAGGTTACATTGCTACAGGCTATACAACATATACAGTAGATTGAAATTAAGTCTGAAGCCAGTCAGATCAAGCTCTTAGCCCAGGAATGAAAGGTGAAATGCTTTCTGAACACTTGGGTTTGGGATTCAGGAAGACAGAGAGGAATGTAGTAGGAGGGGGAACTACAGTTCAGACAAACATCATGATAGTCTGATAGTAAAGACAGATTAAGTAAAACAGGTTTTACTGTTTAGCTGCGTTCAGTTATACAAAATGTACATAAAGTGTTAGTCCTCTGAGACCAACATGATTTATGATCAGTATAGTGGGAAATGACATACTTATTGTATACAAACACTTGCAAAATCTATATATCCCTATTTTAAAACAAAATAAGATGAAACATGGAGCCTCTGGTCTGATATAAAGCCCCTATTGGATTCTTTGGATATGTAAGAAATTGCCTGTCCAGCCAGAAGACTGATGAAAATCCATCAGACTTTGTTGTGAGACAGGTGGATGTTTTTATTTTATTATATGCAGGTGAGTGTTGAAACTGTTAAAATTCCAATTTGTTTTCATTCAGTATTAGTTTAGTTCTAAACATAGCAAATCCCATTCAGGTGCTATCAGATGACCAGTTACTGCTTAGTTAACTAGGTGTAAAGTTTTACATATACATTAATGTCAATAGTTTATTACAAGTTGTGTAAAATGGACTCTAGTTTAATAATGGGGGGTGGGGGGGAAAATTAGGTTGCTCCTGAAACTGACTGTAGAGCATGTAAAATGATTTTACTGGATTTTGTTCAACTGTAATCAATGAAAAAGATGTATGTTGTAGACAAAGTTGCAGAATTAAAAAGAAATCTGCTTTTAATTTATTCTTTTTGTATTAAGAATTTGTATAGTACCTTTACATTTTGCAAAACAGTGTTGTCAACACTTATTAAAGCATTTTCAAAATGAAAAGATCTCAGTTGCCTTTTGAAGATTTTGTTTTTGTAAGTTATAAATGCTTACACATGCTCCAGAAATCTGTGATTCAGGTGTGTGTGTTATTATTGGGCTCATTTTTAAAAATCAATCTATAGATAATACTTTTCCTGATGGGCTAGGTGATATAAACCAGCTTGGTTTGTTTGGCAGAGGCCAGTTTCCTCTTATTCTAATTTCCTTTTGCTAATTACAAAACAATCTCCATTAATATGTATTCCTCCTACTACAAAAAAAGGATCTGAAATGCCATTTCTGTATTTGTATCACTGCTCATTATAGTTACCCATGTGCAGTATGTACCAAGCCTGGTCACTGTTCTCATTAAACAGGTGGACAACACAGATAATCAGGTTTGGGAGTCATCCATAGACTGTGTCTCCCTGTGGCCCCTGGTTGTGTGTAGGATACAAAGGGCCAACCAGGGAGACAGGCAAGATGTTCCTGCTCTTCACTGCCACTGCTGGTCACCCTCTGTGCTTACCCCTGTTCGAACTCTCTCATTCACCCTCCACATCAACAACCTATTGGGTCTGTAGGTACAAACCCCCCCCAGACTTAAGGATAAAACTGCAACTATCTGACCCTTTAGCAGAGACTTTGCTGCACCAAATTCCTGGGCCCCCAATCCACCATGCTCTATTTACTATCAGAAAATGAAGCCTAGCAGCCAAGAACATCATCCCTGGATGGAAAACCTTGTGGAACCATTTGCCTCTAGAGCCAACTAACTTACCTTGCCAAAAATAAAAACAATCCATTGAGAACATGAAGATGTCTGGCAATAAGCCCACTAGACAGGATTGCTTCCCTTGGGAAAGCAACCAGAGCCTCTCTATCTCAAGATAATGATTTCAAACAAACAAATAAGGACTTGAAAGTTTTTCACATGTAAATATGTCACAGCCCAGGGAATAATCTAGTATCTCACTCCACTGTAGCACATGAAAGTGACTGGCACACAGAAAGATGAGACATCAATTTCTTACCTCCTTCCTACCTTCCAACACACACACACACACACACACACACACACACACCCTTCTGCAGTGTCGTCAAGGCAATTCCATTTCGTCAAGGCAATTCCATTGGGTTATTAGAGACCACCAACAACCACTTCCAAGTAGAAACCATCAGAAATAGCCAGGCTTTCCTTTCTCCCAGAATACCAGTTCACTAAAAAGCAAAAACAGCAAAATAATTCTCTCTAAAAAGAGGCAAGTCAGAGGAGGGCTAGTTAGCAGGGAGGGGCCAGAGCTGAAGCCCTTCAGTACATCTTCTGTGCTGAGCCCAGATTAGACAAATAGGCACACAACCACAACATAAGGAAAACTGAGGTCACTTGCATTAAACAGAAGAGATTAAAATGACTCCCCAGGATGAGAAATCAACAAAGTGTATAAATGGGATTTCTCATCACTATCTTATTCAAGGAGCTAACTGCTCAAAGAGATGACAGAGGAAGGCAAAAGAACCTGCAGCGGTATAGCTCACTGCCTTGCACAAAGCTATGCCCCCCTGAGAGTATGTACTTAGGTAAGAGGTGAAGGATCTAGAGTACAATCAATAGCATAAACAGTGAATACATTAATCGATGAAACCCAGATGTTTATAACTGCACCAAAACCTTTTTTGTATCAGAAACCCATTCCTTTTTGTATTAAAAATTTAAGTTTCTATAAACTTTATAAAGTTCCTACAAACTAGCAGTTTTGCTTTTAATTCATTTATACATTTACTATCAAACCCATACCAATCATGCTTTCATTCCCCTTTTCTATCAAAACCACCACCATCAAGGTCAAGGATGACTCCCACAATGCCAAATCCAATGGTTCGATCCTCACATTCTGTGACACAAGCAACACCAGATGGTTGAAACATCTTCAAGTGGAGTCCAGGAAACTACATTCCTACTCTTTTCTTCCTTTATAAATAGGGCTCTTCTTTCCAGTCTTGCTGGGAATGACCTACAGCTCAGTTCTTGGACTCTTCATTATCCAGTCATTCTTCATAACTCTCATGATTTTGAATGTCCTCTATTTGCCAATGACACCCACATTTATCTCTGAACCCCCTCTGAAACTTGTGCATCCTACCACCTACTCAACACATCCACATGGATGTCTAACATGTCCAAAGCTAAGTCCTGACTTCCCCCACTATATCTGCTCCATAATGGCCTTCCTTAGGTCAGTTCTAGACAACGCCAACCTTCCAGTGCTCAGGCCAAAAATCTTTGAATCATCCATGATTTCTTTCTCTTATGCCTCACATCTGTAGTAAAAAAAATGGATATAAAAATCCCTGCCCTTTGCATATTTATATTGCAGGTGTGGGGAGGGGGAGAAAATGAAAGGTAAAAAATATAACATAATAGAAGGTGACAAGTAATCAGGGAGGGTGGGAAAATTAGCCTATAACAGAACAAGCACCTTTTCCTCAAGTCAGGTAACAAATGCTCCAAGTGTGCAGGTAGAAAGCAACCTTAAGTTTGTCTCCACATTTAACATGGTGTACAAAGAGACAGGTGAGGCCACCCTCCAGATGAGAGGTGGCAGGACAGTGCCAGGAGAAAGCAGAGCCACAGATCAGAAAAGCTGCTAAAGGAAAGGAAGATGAGATGTGTCCCAGGCACCAGTTAGGGCCCCACTGGCACAGGGCTGTGGAGGTTGTGAGTTCCCCAAGTTGTACTTAGCAGCTAGGGCATGAGAAGAGACTGATGAAATAATCCGGGCTTGGGCTATATAGTGTTGGGTGGCAGAGGATGGAGGGTAAGAGAGTAGAAGGTCCAGGTGAGAGTGTGACTGAAATGATGATAATGAGATCTAAAGTGACTAGAGAAAAGCAAAGCCAACAAGGTGCTCATAATTAGAAGAAAGAATACAAAGACTAAATAAACTGAGGGATAACAGAGTGGGAAGGAGTGAGGCTGGAACTTCATTATCGAAGAGAAGGTAAAATGCTAGTTTCCCCACAACTTAGTTACCTCCATGTGGGATGAATCACATAATCTAATCATCATAATATGGAGCCATCCATCCATATGTTATATTGATGCCCGCCAGTGGAAAATTAATCTGAGCCTGAGGTTCCCAGGAAGAGGATGTGGGTCTCACTCTCCTCTGCTTAGAAGCTGCGAATGTAGTTGCCCATTGTGTCCGAAAACAGAAACCACACCAACAATGATTGATACATAAACTGTTAACCATACAGTGAAGAGGTGACAGAGTAAAGGAGACACTGAGATGTCACAGAGGTAACTAAAGGCAGCAACTGCCACTCTCAGGGTAGGGGAGCAAAGACAAGGGATTATTAAAATTGAGAAGTTTAAAAGAAGGTATCAGGGCCTCCCCAGTGGTGCAGCGGGTTGAGCGCAGCACTGTGAAGCTGTCTGCAGCTCTGCAGCGCGGGTTTGATTTCCGGCCGGCCAGAGATTCCCATATGGCGCAGCAGACCTCTCCTGCCTCTCCCACTGCTCGCCTCAGCAGCATCTTCGGTCTGTCTGCCTGTTCTGCTCCCCGCTGTCTCTGGTGAATTCTCTCACACTCCGGCACCTCTGACCTGTACCCCAGTTCTTGTATAAATAAAATCTTTATTAAAAAATTATTAAAAAAAAAAAAAAGGAGGTATCCGTGGAGCTGGGAGTCAAACCTGAGGGCTGGATGCTGTTCAGCTGCTACTGACCATTTCAGGAATTTTAAAGGACCCCACAGACCCAGGATTCAAACCTCTGAAGAAGAGTATGGCTGATGGAGTTACAATCTGTGAGTGACAAGATGATACTGGTTCTACAAGGATGGTAAAATGGTGAACTGGAACCAACTCCTCCTTCAGGAACTGTCAGTGCCGGGCTGGAGAGCTATGGCTGTGCCATCACTGCTGGAGATGAAGCAGACAGACAGGAACGGATCCCTTCTTCTCTGCTCTGGGTTACAGTCTCTTGTGGTGCCTCTACCACTGGAACCTAACAAAAAGCCAGTCAGCAAAGGAAAACTGTGGTTTGCAGTCTCATCACAAAGCAGAATGTGAAGGATCATGGGAGCTGAAAAAGAACAGCTGCACAACCAGCACCTACTGACCAGAAGACAGCCCTTCACCTCTCCCAGCTGTGGCTGGCCAACTCACCAGCAGTGCCTAGTGCAAGGATGAACTAGAAGGCTTTACAATTAGTAGAGACCTCTAAAATCTATTGCTTTAATAAAAAGGACAATAAATTTTCAATTCATGTATTTTTTTTAAAAAAAGTCTAAAAAAACAAAAAGCACATGGTTCATGTGTTTCTTACTTAAAATGAACTGTGGCAATAACCAGTTAAAGCATATTAGAAAATTTTCTCCAAATAATGAAATTACAGTGGTATTTTCTCAAAAATCTTTCACACCCATAACAAATATTTAGGAGAGAGTTTAATTCTCTCAGTCATTTCTTACTCTAACACCAGAGAGAAACAAAAGCTAGTTGCTTCTGTCCAATCAACTGGGTGACTTGAATTTTGATGAGAGGCCAGGAGCACTCCTCTTAGCATCTGCCTTCATACCCACTTGTCCTTGAATTGCCTTTAACATCAGTTTCATTAGTGACTTTTCTACCATTGAAATAACCTTGTGCCAATACCAACAGATTTCATTCAAATAAAAGCTGTTATTTATCTTAGTGGGATGTAGCAAAGTTGGATCTTATTTCAGTTGAGGCAGACATGACTTCAGACCACCACAACACACTTGCCATGAGGCTCCATGATCTTGAAAGCCAAGAAATATGAGAAATGCATATACTTCTTAGGAAATGACTAACAAAATACATGGGAACACACTGGCAAGTGTACCCAATATTTTTCTCACAGAATGAGGTCCAAAGACAAGCAACCATGATGGTTAATTTTGTGTCAATTTGACTGAGACATGGTGTGCCCAGAAGTCTGGTTAAACATCACTCTGGGGTTGTCTTTGAGGGGTGTAATTGAACGAGATTATTGTCTGAATAGGTGGACTGAGTAAAGCAGAATGCTTTCCCGAATGTGGGTGGATTTCATCCAACTATAACAGGGTGGTCCCCAGGAAAAGAGGAGGTTCCAGTTTCCTGCCCCACCTGAGGGAGGGTGGAGCTGAGCAGAGAGAAGCAGCAGTGGGAGAAGAGACTAGAGGTGGGAAGGAAGAACAGAGAGCCAGAACTGGAGGCGGCACATGGAGCAGAGAAGCATCTGAAAAACTGTACTTGTTTCTTAGTTTTGGACTGGTTGAAACAGATGTGGGTGAGAGACCCGTGGGGAGGTTAACAATGGAAGCTTTTATCTTGATTTTGTTCCTTCTGCCCCTTTCCTATGGGTCCCTGACTTGTGACAGGCTTTTGGGTGTTAGTTGCCCTGCTTTGAGCCAACCCTGTTTGGCTGGGCATCTACCTACGAGGGGATGGGTAACCATGGGTGCTTGATTTGGATACTCCTTGTCTTTTCTTTATTGCACATGTATTAAAGTTCCTTTCCATTAAAGGTCTTGCATACTACAGTATGTTTTTGTCTCGATGCAGCATATGGCAGAACCTATATATAGTAGGCAGGTTGGGGATTCTGGGGTGCCCCTCACCCTGCCCTGTAACATAATCTTTTGAGAAGCTGAATAGCAAAAGGTGGGGTAAGAAATCACTCTTCCTGCCTGCCTATTTCAGCTTCTTCAGTCTTCTACTCTCAGACTGGGGCTTACCATCATTAGCTTCTCAAGTGGCTCATGTCTTTGGATTCGAACTAGAATCTATACCACCGGCTCTCCTGTGTCTCCAGCTTGCAGATGGCAGACCATGATATTTCTCTGTGTCCATGATCACATGAGCCAATTCCTCATAGTAAGTCTATATATACATATACATATATATATATATACACACATACATATATACACACATATATCTCCTATTGGTTTTATTTCTCTGGAAACTGACTAATAAAGCAAGGTTTGTACAGTGATTCCATGAAACCATCAAAGAACAAACTCTGCTGTTGGTTAGCATTAGCATTAGACTAAAGACTGCAGGACAGCTGCACAGTATCTAAGCATTGGGATCACTTTCAGGAAAAAAACAGAAAAACAGCAAAATTTATCTATTAGTTAAGTCTGTGTCTCTCAGAAAAATAGCTTTCCTGAGAGTCTCACCCAAAAGGCATCATCTATATCCTATTGGTAGATTGTACAGAATAACCAGCCCTAACGACAAAAGGTTCTAGGAGAGCAAGCAATTTCAACTGTGTACACTGCAACTATGAACAAATTAAGGCACTGTTAGCAAAGAAGAGGCAAACGAAAATAGGGAAACTAGCAGTGTCCACACCTCACATATATGACATGTAAACTTGCACACAAAGGAAGAAATAAAGTAGTAAAGTCTTAAACTAAGGTTTAACAAAAACACTCACATATTTCCTCTTCTCTCAAATCCTCTACGCTTTGGTATAATAGTATTATGACATAACTAAGCAAAAGAAATAATTACATTAAGACTGATTTATATGATTTGGTTTTTATAAAATCTATGTGGCAAAGATAGCTGACAAAGGTTATGTCAGTATCTGAACTGGTTATATGATTACTTCACCTTGAGATTAAAAAGTAACCTAGAATATAGACAAGTCAGAGAGTGGAAAAGGTATTTACAATACATCGAGCAAAGAACTCATAACTGGTATATATTAAGAATTAAAAATCAGTAAGAAAAAAGCAGGCAATTCTCCATAGGGAAAAAAATGGACAAAAATAAAATCCTGAACAGGAATTTCACAAAAAATAACACCCAAATAACCATTAAGCATATAAAAAAGCTGCTCAATTTGTCATCACGGATGCAAATTAAAGCCACAATGAGATACTATTTTAACCCCCACCAGCAAGGCTAACATGAAAAATGACTAACAATATATTACATGTGACCAGGATGTGGAATAACTAGAACACTCAAATTCTGTTTATGAGAGTATGAACTGGTCCAAGTCCTTTTTAAAAACTCTTTCACAGTATCTTCTATAACTAAGAGATATTATGTCCCAGTAATTTCACACCTTCATGTATCCCTACAGAAATTCATATTCAACAAAAATGCATATACAAACATTGATCCAAAAATTGGAAACTCAAAAGTCTATTAACAGTATTTTGAGATACAACAATGGAACTGAAAGAACAATTACACAGGATATCAGAAACTTGGGAAATCAAATATAAAAGTCAAGCTTACTGTGTGATACTATTGTTAAGTAGGTAAATTTAAAAATAGGCAAAATTACCCTGTGGGGGATTAATTACTAATAGGAATGGGGTTTCTTTTTGAGAATGGTGAAAATGTTCTAAACTTTAGATCATGGTGATGGTTATACAAATATTCTAAAAACTATTATACACCTTGCATGGATGAATTTTTTAGTTTATGCATTATGTATTAACAGTTTTTTCAATTTTTAAAGATGATGTTAGAAATCAGGTAATGGCTGTGCCTAGAGGGGCATGAAGGGAGCTATGCGGTCCAAGTAACATTATCCTGATTTGGGTACTAGTTATTTTGGAAAATGCTCACCTTGAAAAATAAATAATATGGTACTTTTTTGATTTCTACTCTTTTCTGTAGATATATTTACATTAAAAGAAATCTTGTTCTACTTTACTTGTGGAAAATAACCTTCAAAAAGCTGAACAAACCCTCAACAGATACTTGACTCTTTGTATCTCTCTATGCCTGCACCCTATCTCATACTTTAGCCTTCCATTTCTTTTATAATATCTTGTTTAATCTTGCTTTACACAATTTCCAGACAGCCTGAGGTAGCCACCTACCCTTGCTGACACTGTTCTTACAGACAGGCTTAGATGTTGCTCCTCTTATTCTTCTCTGGATAAGTTACATCTGAAAATTACAAAATGTTAGTTTAGAAGTACTTAATATTTGGAATACTCAAGGTTTTATAATGTGCTACATTTCATACTAATTTTGAAAGCCAAGTGTTATCTCCATGTTTCTGTTTAAAAAAAAAAAAAATAAAAAGGATAGAACCTTTTTGCCCTTGGTTCGTCTTAAGTCATTTCCTTTCCTTAATTCTGCGAATAATTCTTTTTAATAAATGGTTTTCAAACTGCTGGTAACAATGCATTCATTGGCTGAAACCTAGTTTAGAGTCACAACCAACATAGTTTTTAAAAGAAACACAACAGAAAAACAAACATGAATGCATCACACATGCTTTCAGTACTTTTGTTTCAGATATATATGCATATATGTTGTCATACTGGGTCTTGGCGTATTTGCTGTTGTTTACTATGAATTAGTGTCTTTTGCCCACCAGTTTCAAATGCTACAGTTTTAACTCTCACACTTCGCAAGATTGACAGAAACTCTATGCCAGTCTCAGACTACAACATGATGTCTCCCAAGCCTTAAAGGAAGAGCAGTTTGAAAGCAAAGGCAATTTAGTTTTAGCCAAGTTGTGAAACTGGGAATTCGGAAATGCAAGGAGAGCAGACTATAACTGACTCGAGGCTCATGACTAAATCTGAGATCACCAATAATTCAAAAAGAAGCTCTAAACTTCTCAGTTGCTCTCCAACCAAGCTTGAAGTATTCCATTTGAAAACTGTAAGAAAGAAAAGGCTTACAATTATTTCAAAGCTGGTGCTTAAGGACAGGGAGAAGAGACTAAACAAAAGGAAGTGGCCTAGTTAAATAGAATAACCGTTATCAGCAACATAAGGATTAGTTTAAGCAAGCAGTATAAAGTACTCCAGAGTTTACAATGAAGAAAAATAAGTAATCAGTGCTTTCATAATAAACAGTTTGGTAAACATAAAAAAAAACATTTTTTTAAATGAGCATGATTTCAGAATCTTGAATGGGGTTGGTTCACAGCACAGCTGCTGCTGCTAGCCGCACTGCATTCCCCTAGTTATTCCACACCACCAGAACTTATTTTTAAATTTCAAAAGATTTTAAGGTTATGGTTAACCATTGAAGAACTGGTGTGTGGTTGTAATTCAGTCAATCTAACTGTAGAATCTGTGATGAAAACCAGTTGCCATAACAGTGTTCCCATAGCGACCCTCTGGGGACTGGAGCTGGCTCCTCAGACCAGACAGCTGGAAACTCTTACATAAATGTGCCGTGAGAAAGTGCTTTCAGTTCAAGACTCCCAATATGATTCCATACCATAAATGTCTACGGGATAAAGTTATTCTTGCAGGGCCTTCATGGGAGAATGCTGTGGGGGTCAGGGAAGGAAGGAAGTACAACCTATCAAGTTATGTTCTTTAGATATTCATACAAAGGGAACGGCCACATATTAATGTTCTCCTTTCACTGAAAATGTCCCACTTAATTCTTCTACCCTACTATGTTAAAAGCATTAAAGGGGATTACTGTATGACTGAAAAGGAGTCAGTGATAGGAATCCCCAAATTCAAAACTACTGAAGACTTTGAAATACTTTTTAGTTTTTCCCAAATTGTTTACTTTCAGAATAAGTTATTACTTTCTTTCAAATACAAAGACAATCCTATTTCTAAAGTATTTACTGAGGTCAAATCCCAGGGCAATCTAAAGTGCTAGAGCAGGTCAAGAAATCACCAGAGGGAAGAACTGAACATTAAAAGTTGTACTGCTATCAATCCTATTTCCTATTCCTTCAAATTCTGAGAGTTCAGAGTGCATAGCAAAACTCTAAGTTCTGTTATTAGTGACAGCTGCCTTGCTCATTCAGTCTCTCAGGACATCCCCCATCTTCCAACAAGATCCGGACCATCCTCTCTTCTCTCTTTCCCTTATGTGTCAATTATCTTTGGCCTCAGCTTTATTTTCCTAATTTTCCCCATAGACTGCAAGCATAATCATGACTTCCAGATTGCTACAGGCTCTCTATTGCAGTACTGAAAATACTGCTCCATCTTTGCAGCTGGCAAGAATGAGCCTAGAAAATGCAGTATTTACTTCTGAGGGAAAACCAGTATTTTACTAAAGATGCACTTCTTTGAATAGCAGTCTGGGGAGGGAGGGAGTAAAAAAAAAAGGGGGGGGCTTAGTTACTTCAGGATTGCAAATGATTTAAAAAGAATGCCTTTATTGTTTTACACAGTTAAAAACAGAAATATGAAGTATCTGCTGAACTAAAATTTCCATGACATGGAGGATGTGGGAGGTCATTTTTCCATATATCCACATGTTATTTGCAGTGATATGAAGATCCTTAATTTCAAGGAAATGTAAAACTTTTCTGAGGAAATACACATCTTGAACCTACCTCCCTCTACCCATGCCCAAAATGGTTAACATTCTCAGCACTGCAGAAAATGTTACCAATTTTGATCAATCCATCTATTCACACTGATCGATTTTAGAATGCATTTGTGTCACGATACAATTCTTGTTTATGTGAAATATTAATAGCAAAAGGAAAGACACATGAAATTAACTGTTGTGGCCTGATTGTGTATAATTAAAAGGTAAAAATTAAATAATATTTATAAACAAATCCTTTAAAACAAGACTACTACACACAAAAGTCTACATTATTGTGTTATCTTATGAAAGTCTGTCTCTCATTTGCACTAGTAAGCTCCCCTAAGCTCCAATAAAAAGAAAAGTTTTCCAAAGAGGGAAGCCTGATTTAATTCAGGACAAAGGCCTCAAACACCATCATGCAAGTAACAGCAGAAATGATAGGCACAGTCATTAACCACAGGCAGCCAAAACCAGCTTTCAAGCCTTCCTAAAAGGGACCAGAATAAGAATTGTGAATTTACGCCCACCTATTCAGCTGATTCTAGCTCCTATCACATCCCCTGCCCTGTTAAACTCAGAATTACTGACAGGGCAAGTAGCCAGCCTGGATACAGAAAATGCTTAATAATGTTTCTAGTATTACCAATATTGTTAATACCATCATTATTATCATTACATGAGTATACATAGCTTCTGAATGCAGGGTTCCTAAAAGCTATTTTGGATGTATTTTAATAACAACACAATAATAGTATTTACTGAGCTCTTATTAAATGCCAGACAACGTACCAATGAGCATTTATCCTAAACAATGATGATATGAGGAAAGCACAACTATTACTACCATTTGCAGATAAGGAAACTGAGGCATAGAAAGATGAAGTTACTTGCCAATGGTCATACAGTTAGTTAGTGGGTAGAGAGCTGAAATAAGAAGGCAGAAGTTGACTTTGCACCCCCTCTCTTACACTATTAGTGCTGCCGATCTTGTCACATGACATTCTATTTACTCACCTTCCTCTGTTAACTGAGTTCTCTCAACTTCTAAAATGCAGTGACTCATCACAATTATCTGGGTATGACACTGCAAGACTGAGAACAAGTCCCCTCTTTGTGGAAAATCTGAACCAGGACCTATTGTCTTGGGAAGCAACCAGTGGACTGACACCTCTTTGCTGAGCGGGATGTGCAAGGAACATAGCCCTTCATGGTCTCATGAAGATGAAGAAGCTGGCAGGCAGTCCTAATTGAGGAAGGATCAGTATCATCAAAATGTCTCCATTCTAGGCTGGCTTGATAATCCATTTCCTTACCTTGAACTTCGATGCACCGGAGTTGCTCTGTTTGACTTCTGCTGGTATAATATGCTCTCCCCATCTTCCCACCCCTTCTATTTCCCATTAATTCTATCTGTCCCAAGAGATGACAGACAACACTAAAACTGACACTTCTTAAAAGATAAAGGCAAGCTTTGAAACAAAAAAGAAGAAAAAAAAAAACACTTGAGTTTACAGTAATAACAAAGCTTACATTCAAATTCTAATGCAAGATAGCAAAAGTTCAGCAAGATTTAAGGACTATAAAGTTTCATTGAATGGTTCCCTTTTTTGAAATACATAAAAATATTTTCTATAAATACTACATAAAAGACAACATGAAAAGTACCATATTTTACAGAAATAATTAAGTCCAAACGTTCCTTCTGAATTATCTAATCACAGCAACTTTCAGGTCTAGAATGAAAAAGTAATTTTAAGCTCCCATCTGTGACTGTTATCTAAACATTCAAATTACTGGGAAAGGTCTTTCGAATTTAATATTTTGGCTATTTAAAATAAAAGGAAGACACAAAAATCAGTTTGCAGAAATATGACACAAGAGCCCACACAGTTCTTAAAACCAAAAGTTGCTTTAGGTAGAACTCAGAGACTAGAAACTCCATTTTCTTCTTCCCTCATTTGTTTTTGTAATTCCAGAAGTCTGTACCAAGCTCCCGTAAGTTTCTTATTGTTATTTACACACTATATATAGATCTTATAGTGCATTGTACTCCACACATTTTGATGGATCCGTTGGAAAGTGCTTCTGGCAAATGGTCATTAATCTTTTCAATCCCTAAGAAAATAAAAAAAAAATTGAAGTGGTTATGATTTGGTTGAACTATTCTTAATTGCCTCTGGACTCACTCCAGTTTATCAATGTCCCCATTAAAATATGATAGTCCCCAGCAACTCCACTCAGATGTATACTTAGAGAAACATTTACACATGTGCACCCAGACTTTATGTACAATGTGAACCATAACAGTACAGTTAACAATAATAGTAACAGACATGCTGGAAACAACCCAAATATCTGACAGGAGAATCTAAGAATAAGCCTTAGTATGCCCCCAAATGTAACATTTTACATCAATAAAAATGAGTCAACTGGAGCTACATATAACAACTCAGCCTTTCTCCACCAGGTTTCCATAGAGAATTGAGCCCAAATTGTCTAACTTAAAACATCCATTTTATCTAATGAGAGAGCACTTTTCCTGTGTATCTAAAATGGTGCTATACATATATATACCATCCTTGGAGGGGCTGAGGAAAGAGTCAACCAAATTTTCTTCTGTGTTCTATAGCACAGATGTAAACCTCTGGCTGAGAACAACTGATATACATGAGGTCTTAGAGACAATGTTTAGTGTAAAAATCAAGTTGACCAAAAGCTATAGACAGTACATTTTAATAAAATTTTAATAAAATTTAATAAAATTTTAATAAAATTCAAAAATAATTTTAAAATAATATATTGCTCAGAAATACACACATAACTTGGTAGAATTCTTTTTGAAAAAGGCCCAAAGAAATGACAAATACAGGATAATGGTAACTTCTGGGGTAGAGAAGGAAAACACAGACTCCAGCTTATCAGAACTCTAGTTTTTAAGATGGGAGGTCTTTATATGTTCGTTTTATTATTTACTTATAACTTACATGTTACATCTATTCTTTCGAATGTGCCAAATACTACAAGATAAAACATTTTAATATAACATTAAAAGCTTGTACACAACATTCCAAACATGACCCAGCCAATCCTGCAGAATTCCCTAAAGGGGATGGATTCTGTATTACCTTTTGTTCTATACCTTTGGCATCTGTTAATCAGCATTTAGTTCTTTTTATACAACTACAATACACTACTAATTCCCACTGACCTGCACAGATTCCAAGCGCTTTCTCCCTCTTCTGTAATTGGGTCAGTTCTTGTCTATAACTATGTAGTTATTTTTTCAACTGATGAGATGAATCAGTTAATATTAAAATTAGGTTATTTTAATAAAATACGGGGTTGGTGTTTAGTTATTCCTATTAGATTTCTCATCCACCACTAAGCAAACACACCTCTAAGTCGGTATCAAAATTCACAAACAGGCCAGGAATAACAGCAGAAACCTGTGACATGCCACCATCTGGGGGACAATTTTGCAACCAGCAATGAATTCTATTAACTGTTTTATCTTCTACAAATTAGGTTCACAAAAATTAAAACCTCTCAGACCCTTTTGCAATAATAGGAACAGGTCAAAGGTTTACTATGTTCAGGCCTAGAATAATTACTAGATATTTAATATGACAGTGTATATAGCACTTTGCCTGGTACTTAACTAGTATTCCCTCAAAATTAATTTTCTTTCCTCAAAATATTATAAAATTAATTTTCTTTCCTCAAAATATTATAAAATGTCATTGGCTCTTTAAACAACAAAGAACTTCATGGCCTAGTGAGAAAGCAGAGTATATGGATATAATTACACAACATATCCACAGAAGAGCACATCTTCAAGTCTGAGGGGAAAAGTAAAAAACAACCTCAAAATGAATACTAATATTAACAGGTATCTAAAAATTAAGCATTTAGAATGCATACTCTAATAACCTAAGTATTCCAGCAACTAAAACTCAGTGAAATCACCACCAACAAAACTCCTTCAACCCCTTAGTAAGTGGACAACACAAATTTTAAATTACTTCTATGAATTAAACTATAGATCAACATGAACTACAGATTCAACATGAGAGAAGAAAGGCTTTCAAATATTTTACTTAAAGACCTCTGTGAATTCAAAGACTGTCCATAATATGCTTAAGAATTAAGAATTAGGACTGTGGAAGGAGGTTATCTTTCAGCTGATTGCCAGGACAACAAACTTTGGCAGGCAGTGCAAAAAGACCATATAATTTGCTTTGCTCCTCAATTTCTTTTATGTCCCCTGTGCTAATCAGGTATTTGCTTGAGGATAAAGATCATTCCTTCTCATAGTCCAGATTCTCCTGCTGTGAATGCTAATATGTGTATGCAGAATTGTGATCTGTAGTCATGGAAATATATGTGATATCACTAATTTGGCATCTTAAGTTTCCTGAAGGAATAGGTCAGGAGAACACCCGGGTGAAATACAAAAAGCTTTAGTCAGCAGCAAAACAAAGCAGGAATTATTAACAAAAGGTAAACTGACTGCCAGAGGTAAGTACTGGTATCTTAGGTGTTTGCTCCTTATAGAAGGTATTTGTGGTGCTTGTTTACTGTCACTAATGTAGATTCTGTGGCTTAAGAAAAAAAAAAATACTAGTATCCTGCTGAAATTTTAGCTGCCAAAAGGTTGTGAAACAACAGTACAAGTCATAGTTACCACAGAACATTACATTTTTGCAGTAAGAACTGATAGTACAGAATACAGATTTTTAAAGGGGTATAATCTCAGGAGAGCATATGATTACTTTCCAAATAGAAATGAATCTTTTTGAAGCAGATACTTCAGGATATCCATTTCAAATTGCTCTTGGATGTTTAAACCAGTGAGACAATGAGCTACTTAGCTTATTGAAAAAAATCGTCTTAAAAAATAGTAGTATTTTCAAAGTAAAAAATTGAAATCAACAAGCAACTATGGGCCAGAGACGCATGGGGGGTGAGGGGGAGGAAGGATTAGGGTCAAAATAAGGGGGGGTGCAATTGTATGGGGACTATAACCAAAATGAAAATGCATGCATTGTGCAAAAATGAAAAATGATGTAAGAATTACATAAAATAAAACATTTTTAAAAAACTAGTAGTATGTTTACATATAATTTTTATTTTTGTGAAAGCAATACATTTATTTAATAAATCTTTGTTGGGTGCTTACTCCGTGGCAACAAGTGCTCTAGGCTATGGACTACAGCAGAAAACAGAACAAAAAAAATCCTCACCCTCACTAAGACTGTTCTAAAAGGAAAAGGCAGTCAAGAAACAGTGATTATGTAAAATACCTAACATGCTAGATGATAAGTGCTATGAAGAAATAAAACAGGGGAATGGGTGTGAATACTGGGAGGGAGCAACCAGAAGATGGGCTTTGGTTTTAACTGTAAGTGAACTAAGGAAACAGTGGGGGGCTTTGAGCAGGTGACACAATTTGATTCATATTTTTAACAGGACCTCTCTGGGCGCTGTACAGATAACAATCTGAAGAGGGTTAAGGACAGACACTCAGACACCAGGGAAAAGATAATCCAAATGAGAGGGGTTGGTGGTTAGATACAAATGGCAGCAGAGGAAGTAGTGAGAAGGGATCAGATTCCAACTGTATTTTGAATATAGAACCATCAAGGTGTGTGGACAGAGGGATTAGGGCAGGAAAAAAAAAAATCAAGGTATTTCCATATTTTGTGAGATGTGTTGTTGAAAAAAAAAATCACATAGCTTTGAGAGCAAATCATAGCAGTCCTCTGCGAGCAACTCAGAGGCAAACACCTAAAATCTCTTACGTGTTTCTTCTGGCATTTACTCACATTTCTAAATACTCACTAAGAGTGCTAATTTTTCTGTTTGGTTTGGTGGGGTTTTTTTTTTCTGCTTCAGATAGTATCTACTGACCTACTATTATGAAAGCTGAAATTTAACTGTCTTACTTCATGCCCATTGGTTCCACACATACATACACCCATCCACACACATACCCCTACCTAACATACTTTCTCTTACCTGTCCTTTCCAAATCACAATTCTTAGTGAATTCAATATTCAGGATTTACCTCATGTCTACATAAACTTTGTTCAAAGCGTAGTGTGCTATGATATCTCCTTCCATAGGTGATTTTCCCCATTATTTTTTGTTTCCTAAATATAGATGTCACCAATTCATTCTCCAACAGTGAGCAAATATAAGCTGAGTCATAGTTTCCACTAGCTATTTAAAAGTGTGTCTGGGCCTCCCCGGTGGTGCAGCGGTTGAGCGCTGGGTTGCGAAGCTGCCTGCAGCCTCTGCAGAACCGGTTCGATCGCCGGCTGCTCCCCAGCCACCGGAGGAGGGCCCCACATGGCATGCAGACCTCTCCTGCCACCTGCTTCTCCTCTCAGCAGTGTACTTCGGTCCTTCTGTCTGCTCTGCTCCCCACTCTGGCTCTGGTGAATTCTCTCACCCTCCCGTGCTTCTGACTGTACCCAGTGTTTGTATAAATAAATAAATAATAAATAAATAAATCTTTAAAAAATAAAAAATAAAAAAATAAAAGTGTGTCAATGAACTGTCAAAGTTCTAATAAAAGAAAATTAACAAGAGATACTTAAATAAAAAATTTAGTACTAACTTAAGGCTTAAGGAATAGTTATGTGACCTGAAATGTGATGTTCAAAATATGTGTATATAGGGCCTCCCTGATGGCGCAAGGGGTTAAGCACAGCACTGTGTCCGCAGCCTCTGCAGCATGAGTTCGATCCCCGGCAGGCCAGGGAGCAACCCACATGGCAAGGCAGACCTCTCCTGTCTTGCCCGCTGGTCCCCTCAGCAGTGTATCTCAGTAGATCTGCCTGTTCTGTTCCCCACTCTGTCTCTGATGAATCCACTCACTCCCTGCACCTCTGATCTGTACCCCAGTTCTTGTATACATAAATAAATCTTTTAAAAAATGTGTATATAATTACTTAAAAGTTAACTTTTACAATTTCAACTAATACCCACAGTCCTGCATAAAGGCCAATCCTACAATTGTCTGTTGGAAGTCTTTTCATATATCATTAAAAATTAATTTAACCAAATAACCCATTCTAGATCTTTAAAAACTGGGCCTGATCTAGTCACT